GGCAATCCCTCTCCTGAGAATCATCGTCATTCAAATAAATAGCCGCTTTCACATTCCTGCTTGCTTTCCCCTTTTCAACGATTGATTGCAAGAGCTTTTCAAACCCATCATTGGCCAAGCATGTTCCACGGATTTCGAAGAATTTGATCGAAGTCTTGGCAAAAGCAGCGTAGTAGACGTGAAACGCAGCAGCGGAAGTCCAATGAAAACAGACTTTTTCGCAGTCATTCATCTGATTTGCAATGAAATTCTCGAAATGTTCGCTGATCACTTGATTTTCTTCAAACAAATCAATGTCCACATTAATATCCGCGGATTTTCCAATCACCGAGCGGAAATTCTCAAGAAATTTCAGCAAATCCTCGTTCGTTCGCACGGACAGCTCCAAATGTTTCACAGACTTCAGGTGATTCAGAATCGGGGCGATTAGGTCGCAGAATGGTTCGTCGAACCCCGTCTCAAATAGGTCACACGAGTGGATTCGTTTGAACAATGGAAAGCGGAGAGCGACATTAAGCGTGAGGGTGGAGTCATGGGGACGATGGTTGATGGAAATCCAATCATCACGAGAAAAGATCCGGTGCACGTGACGCCCAAACACTAGCCAGGGTGCCCGCAGCAGAATCGATCGAAATCCTGCATTCACCTTGACCAACTCCATTGTATCTTCCGGCTTCATTTGCTCCAAAACCTCCAGCTCTAGGTCATAGCATAGCTTCTGCATGGGGAATGACGTCAACTTCCGCATTTCAAACGACATTGCTTGGCGTCCGTATACCTGTAAATAAAAAAAGATTAGATTTCAAAAAACAAATCAGCATGTAGAATTAAAAGCTTTTACAGGGTGTGTCATAATTAATCATAATCACTTTAATGTAGCTCATTCAAAAGGTAAACGATTCCCACAACAATTTTACAGGAAAATCTTGAGTGGGTCTCCTGTAGCGGTGTCTATTATCTATCCGATAGGAGTTCATAAATATTTTAAACAAGCTTTCAAAGTTGGGAGTCACATCATGCCTGGCACCCTGAGCCCCAAAACTAGAGTGTGTGCCAGGTTGAGCGCGACCGCCAAAGCTGAAAGCCTATTTCAAAAAATTGTGAACTCCTATCGATTAGATAATAGACACCGCTACAGGAGACCCGCTCCAAATTCACTCGTAAAATGTCTGTGAAAGCCGGTGATCATTTGACTAAGTTAGACCCTCCACAGTGATTATGAGTAATTATGAGGCATCCTGTAGACAAGATTCTCAAGAGTCTCTAGATAACTCGGCTCATCAACCATAATCAGAATGAACATGAAAAATTTCAACCCCGAGCTATCAAGACTATTTGAAGCAGTCTATGAATCCGAAAAAATAAGTTGTTTAATTTTTGACCGTAGAACACAAAAAACGTGAAAAGCGAAAAGAAACTTCCGCTCATGAGTGTAATTGTGAGTGTAATTAGTCCCATTAATGGTTTCCTATAAAGACCACAACGTGGTACATCGCGAGCTCTGCCACGATACCCCACACACTTCCCTCTACTACAATATCGACCATATCAGGCTAAGCGTCGAATCGCAGAAGTTCGTGAGTTTGTTTTAGGGTTATGATCTAAATGCTTATGATTTTGTACAGCTTTCTTTTGCTTTGAGTTCTCTATAGGCAAGTAATATACACATTTTTAACTTGAAGGAATGTTCTTTTCCGAAAAAGCGGGGTAGAAATCAATCTTTTTTTGGTCAAAAATTAGCCAATTTCAAACTGCAACTTTACCCCTTCGAATCAAAAGAAAATGTGAGAAACGTTAACTTAATTTTGTTTAGCATCAGGGAGTTTCATTATTCTATCAATTTAGGCCTATCGTCAGTACTAACGGAATTGAGGTTCTACACGGCTCCGATACACTCGCCTATACAACACTGTCGCTTAAAATGGGGAGTTTGAGAAGCCGTTGATCAGGTAAGATTTAACTAAACTTGACGCCTTTATTTGCCCGAGATCAAGATAAATATCCAAGGTATAAAATAATGCTACCGCGTGACACTAAACAAAAGGAAAATGAGACACCAAAACACCTACGGGCCCTTTTAGAAAGCTTCACAAAAGCAAAAACATTTAGATCAAAACCCCGAAAACAAACTCACAAACTTCTGCGATTCGGTCGATATGGGCGAGGAGTGATGAGCGATAGTGGAATGGAATATAGGGGAGTGGAGTGGCCGGCGTGTCGTGGCTGAGCTCGCGTTGTACCCGAAATACGGTGGGTCAGCAGCACCATCTCTGCAAAAAAAAATATACAAGTTGGTAAGGATTTTTCGTTTTCGATAGTAACAACAGGAAAAAAGTTAAAGTAAAATAGGCACCCACTCGGGAGGAGCTGGTAGGATGAATGACTGTTCGGAAAATTTCGCGCCTTTTTTACAAAATCATTAGCTGAATATCTTTTCCCTGAAGATACTCAGCTAGCTGGCGAAACACTCGCTTGCCAATGGGTAATAATAGATTTGCCCATGGCTATAAAAAGAAAGAAAAGATTTGCCAATGGTTTGAAGCCGGAGATACGGCGTTTTTGAATTTTCTTATCTTGTTTTCAAAAGGAAACTCGAATGTTTTTTGACGCGTTTGGGTAGTACGAAGTTGAAATTTTTCAGGGTCGTTCCTATCGTGGTTGAGGATTCTTATTAGGCGGAGTTATCTAGAGATAGAATGTTTAGAATTTTGAAAAAATGAAAGTAGCTTTTTCTAGAAATTTGTCGCCAAAGGCAAATTATTTATTTGATGTTGTAGTGGGTAAAACCCCACTTCCCCCAGTTCTTTTTGGGATGGAGGATCGATTTGCTGAGACCTTCACGCAATATCGATCTCATTTGAATGACTTTTTTTTAGTTTCACGGAGAAATCAGACATTTTTCGACGGAACATTGACTCGAGGAGGGATTGTGTCTATATGTTTGGATCACACATATACACGGATGATATAGATTCCGGAACCACAGAATTCTTCGCTTTCTACGTTCGTAAAAGATCGGAAAAGATGGAGCTTTGAGAGTTTGACTCTCCGAGGCAGATCATCACGACAAGTCTCGTCTCTAGACAGCAAAATATGCAAAAGTCGGTTATTTTGACTCCTGGATGGGCTACAGTGCTCATATTGTTACAGTAGATTGCCAGTAGATTGCTAGAGTCCTATGGCACTGCTTTAGAGTTTAGAGTTTAGATCCGAGCCTCACTGTGCGAATGCGGGTGTGAAGGCGGGGGTTCTCCTCAAGCAACAAGCCTACATCTAGGCGGAATTGCGATTGATTTTGAAGTCGATTTTGAGTAAATTTGATGTTCGGTGGAGTTGAATTGTGAAAATGATAGGAAAAAATGCAAATATTACGGACTGAACAGATTCTTCAGAGGAAACACCGTCAACGCGCCCGTCCACTACGTTGACCTCATCGCTGACTGTAATTCGATTGCCAAGGCTCAGCGTGAGTTGAGAAGCGTTCAGGATTTGGTCATGAGATAGATACGGTTCGCATTCGGTTCCGATTTGGTTCTCATTTGGGGTTCAATTAGGCTCTCATTCGGTTCCGATCAGGTTCGCATTCGGTTCCTATTCGGCTCCTATTCGGCTCCGATTGGGTTCACATTTGGTTCCTATTCGGTTCCGATTCGTTTCCGATTCGTTTCCGATTACCTACAGTACCGTATGGCCTACCGTATACGAAACAGGTCTTACGGTAGCCTGGAATACAAAGAAGGTCCAAGTACCAAAAAGGTTTTACGCGTTTTTAACTATTGTAATGTTATCGATTCTTCTCACAAGTGGGACGAAAGCGCAGTTTTCAGGGTCGAGAGTTCTATCTAGTGCCGAAAAGCGGTCATGCCAGGGATTTTCTAGAGCCGTACAGTGGTGGTGGCTATTTCCTCAAGAAATCGCCTCAAGATTGGTTCCGCGGCTTGCATGAGGTGCGATTTGAAGGAAAACAAAGTAAAAAAAAGCGTTAATCGCTTGCCTTTCTGTTTTCGTTTTCGAAAAAAAAGCGTTTTCGTTGACCGCTGAACGCTTTGGTTGTAATGTTGTTGATTCTTCTCACGAGTAGAACTCTTTGATTCGTAAGAATTCGGAAAATTTTTTTTTTTCAACAACTCCGACGAGAAACTCGTCAAGAATGAGTGAAATGGTTATAAAAGAAACTTTATAATTTTTGTTTTTTTCTATAATTTCTATTGTACCTAGAGTTACCTAGAGGCTTTAAACGACTAGTTAAATCTGAAGAATCATTCTGAGACAAGTAAGCCACTAAGAGAGGTGCAATTAGTTAAGTCGACCAGTGGACCTTGACTGTGGACCAGTGGACCTTGAGCCAATGGCTTTAAACGACCAGTTAAATCTAAAGAATCATTCTGAGACAGAGTAAGCCACTAAGAAAAGTGAAATTAGTTAATAATAAAGCCAGCAAATGTGAGCCAAATGTGACAGTAAGCCAATTGATTTCGCTTTGAACTTTTTCACCTCAAAAATCGATCTTTTTCGATTGACGAAAAACAAAAGAAGACAAAATCTAATGTTTCTTTTGCTAGGCTATCGTAATCTAGATAAAAAGTAATTGGATTTGCTAAATTTTGTTTGAATACCATTTGAATGCTGATTTTTTTTCAAATACGAATTTTTCCGCTTTTTTTTCTCTGAAAATCGACTCTGTGCGTTCCAGATTTTATAAAAATCCCCTTTTCATTTCATTTTTTTTTGATACTGTTATAAGAATCATTTGAAAACTGCAAAAATACACAAAATTATTTGTAAAATCAAAGATATGGCAAGATTTTTTTGTCAATTCGAAGAAAACAAAAGCTTTTCAAGGAGCAACACGAAATGGGATACGTTTTCGCCTCAAAATTCTCAATACAATCCAGAATTCTCTGGTAAATCTGGGCGCATTTAAGCCACAATGTCAAAGCTAAGCCGAAATTTCGGTAGATAACGATAGACAACGTCATCTCAAGTATTGAATATCCTCATGCACTCGTTGAGAGCACTCTCGGCGTCGCGATCAACATCGCCGTCACCGTCGAGAGGTAGGCGGCCGAGAAAACGAAAAGGAACATTCGATCCAAGCACATCGCAATGTACTTGTAGTCGGCTTGACACTCCTCTTCCACTGCGTCCTCGTCCAGCTTTTCCTGGAACCCATTTCTCTATCAATCAAGCACATGGCAAGATAGAAACCCTGCTAGCCTTTGAGACAATTTCAGCACTCTAGAGTTGATTAAAAGACAGGCCAAGCCAAGCCAAGCCAGACCAAGCCACGCCAAGCCACACCAAGCCAAGCCAAGCCAAGCCGAGCCAAGCCACACCAAGCCAGTCAAGTTTGGTTGAGTCGGGATCCTGGTTCGAGTCCGATCTCAAGCTTTTTGAGGTATTAGAATGGAAACTTTATGATTTTCTGGTTATATTCGAAATCGAAAACTTTGAGAGCCTATAACTTTTGATAGAGTAGATAAAAACGGAAAACAGATTCGGATTCAGCGTGAAATTCCGAGTTGAATAAGGTCAATTAGTGACCAGATTCCTTTGAAATTCCATTGTTAGAAGCTTGCTTTACTCAAGATTTTGGCTGCTTTACTGTTTTGCTTTGCCTGGCTTTGCTCTGGAGTTTCTGGACAAGTTTCTGAACAAGTTCCTTGCCAGAAGGCTTTGACTGGCAAGAAACTTGCCAGTCTAGCTTCTAGACTAGCCAGGTCAGCCAGGTTTTCCCTGGTTACAGTAATCAAAGCTTGCTTACCTTAAACGATTGCATTAAGATGATAATTTCTCTCAATTCTGCTTGCAACGGGGCATAATCTCTTTCAATTGATAGTAGACGAGGTCGTTGAGTTGAAACTAAAAGCTTTCTTCTTTTCTAGATGTTAAATCTTAAAGTTAAATGGTAGTCAAATTATTGTATTCCCGATTTTTCAGCTTATTTTCAAGCAGTTTTATAATTCGTTGATGAAAATGAAATGAAAATGAAGTAAATGAAATGGAGAATTGAGTTTAAGGAATCTTTTAGAAATGAATTATTTCTGAATGATCTATCTAAAGATTGAAACGTACAATTCCTCTTCTCTACAATCTCATTTACGTTCCCTCTTTCTCTCCATTCGTCATCTCGATCCGATTCGTTCATGAATGAAGATTTTTGCATTGAAAACTTGAATAAATCAATGAATTTTCTATAATTTTAAACTCCGACCTCTCCACTGAGAAAACTTCCCTCTGGGAAATTTGAATCAATCACCGTTTTATACTTTCGTGGTTTCGCAAAAGTTTTCCCCGGTCTTGTCATCAAAAGTAGCCAAGGTAACCACTCCAAAAACAGGTTTCGCATCTGAATTTTTCATTCTAATTCATTTCTGAGTACTGTACTCCACTCAGTACTCGTTTTCACCCACAGTACAGACTAGTTACAGCTTTTTAAGCCTTTTAAGCAGTACTCTTCACAATTTAAACACCTAGGACAGTAGTGTAAAGCCTGTCTTCTTTTTGAACTCACTGTATTGCTTAGTTTGTGCGTTTTTGGGTTTCTAAAGTGCACATTGATGATGAGGACTGTGCAAATAGCTGATAAACCGAGGAGGAGCAGAGAAGCCGAGAAGAAAGCAACTGCAAACATCAATATTCATATAAAAGATACAAAAAGCTAGAAAAAGCTATCAAAAGCTCTAACTTTTAACATAAAAACAGCTAGTAACAGTGCAAGCTCAGGTTTGACGCTTAGACTCAGTGAGCTTTGGCCGGGTGGACCTTGAGCTAGGGACCTTGAGCTAGTGGACCTTGACCCAGTGGACCTTGAGCTAGTGGACCTTGACCCAGTGGACCTTGAGCTAGTGGACCTTGACCCAGTGGACCTTGAGCTAGTGGACCTTGACCCAGTGGACCTTGAGCTAGTGGACCTTGACCCAATGTACTTTAGCCCAGGGTACCGTAGCTCAGTAGACCTTGAGCCAGTGTACCTTGATCCATACCTGGCCAGCTTAGCCTCTAAATGAGCACTCAGAGATCATCCCCATTATCCCAAATAGATGATCAGAGCTGCAACCTTTTCAATCCTCACCTACAACCGGGATCGACTCCGATGATGGAGGAATGATCTCGCTCACCATTCCCAAAAACACCAACACTGCCAAGAGATTTGTGATCTCTAAACGCTGCTTTTTATCTAATTATCTACGTACTAAACAGTACTAAAAAGTTACAAAACTCTTACGTAATGTCAACTTCTCGCCACACTCGGTGGGCAAAGTGAAACCAAGAACATTCGATAAAGAGATCAACACTGATGGCACCACCCAATTCAAGCCATAATACAAAGTGCTAAAAAGATTAATGAAGCTATGAAATAGATATTTTGATATCGAAATTGCTAGAGCCATTTTCTAAAATTTCTTTTCTCGCCTCTTCTCTTACCGCCTTTTAATATGGAATCGAAAGTAGAGCTCAACGTACTTTTCCCCATGAAACTCGTTTGCAACACGCTCTGCTGGTGTAGCTGAATGGTGTGGCTTTTAAGAATATTTCATTCTAAACACTAGAGATCTTCAGCTCTACTCTTGACCTTTACAACTTTACAAATCTTTAGAAATCTTCACAAATCTTCACAAATCTCTTCTTCAACTCACCCAACAACTCCCATTCCCCATTTGGCACATAATAAAGCAAATCCATTTGATGTTTATCGGTTAACCCACTGTTGTCGATCGTTAGATCCACTTGTCGACCTGTGTATGTCCAAGAACCGTACTAGAATCTTAATGATTAGAGTTTCTATTACAAGTTTTTAAAAAATCACAAAATCCCGCTCTAAAGCGTACCTTTTCACCTCTTTTGCTTACCTTCAAATAGCAAACTTGATCATCAAATGGGAAATAGGTGAGATCAAAGGTGCAACTCATTCGAACAACACTTGGTGGAGCCATTAGGACTTCTCCATTCGAGCTGACAGCCATATTCACAGGAAACGAGGCATCGAAGTGCTCGTCGGCTCTAAAGCAATCTTTTCTCTTGTAGAGCCTTTTGTGTCTGTAGTCCAGAAACAGGCCAAACGCCGGGCCAGATCCAGATCCAGATCCAGAGCCAGATCCAGAGCCAGATCCAGAGCCAGATCCAGGCTAGAAGCCAGACTCAGATCCAGATCCAGGCCAGAAGCCAGATCTAGATCCAGAGCCAGAAGCCAGCTTCAGATCCAGATCCAGATCCAGGTCAGAAGCCAGATTCAGATTCAAGCAGGGATCTTTGTAGGCCAGGTTCAGAGTAAAGTTAGGTCAGGCTAGGCCAGTAAATTGCTCCAGCCTAATCACAGCCCAAGGCCAGGCCAGAAGCCAAGTTCAAGGCTAGATCTGGGCTAGATCTGAACCTGGAAAAGTCGGTAAAGTCAAGCCTAAGCCTGGAAAGGTACTGTAGCTCAATATAATGTACTTGTACTGGTACTAGTACTTGTATAAAATAAAACCCACGTATTAAACAAGAGCACATCTGGCTTCCACAAGCTGCCAGACGGAAGCTGTAACTTTGTAATATTTCCATACTCTTTCGGATCCCATTTCATCTTGTAATCGTACCAAGTCTGTAAAAGAGTTTAGCATCGTCTTTTCACTAAACTGCGAGTCGAATTCAGAAATCTTTGAGTTGTTGAAGAGATGTGCTACGGAGCTGTGCTAAGGAGCTGTGCTAAGGAGCTGTACGAGTACAAGTACTAGTCCAAGTACAAGTACAAGTACGAGTACAAGTCCAAGCTGGTGCTTGTGTTGTGCTTGTTTTTTTGGTTTCCTTCTCAGAAGATTTTCGTTTAACTTTAGCACAATTTCGAATCACTGACAACTTGTTTAAACTTTTACAAACCATTTGTGTCCAAATGACAAGCGTTACAACTTGATTTCTCTCATCAACATCAACAAGTTGTTGAAGGAGAATTCGAATCGATACATTCACTGCATCGCTATGATCAGCTACTGGCCGCTCGACTTGATCATAACTGAAATAAGGAATTTCAATTGGCTTTTCTCCAGCAGCTTGTGTTAAATGAAACTTTAGATTATTAAGGTTAGAGGCTAGGCTAAAGTTAAGCTTAAAGTTAAGGCTAAAGAAATTTATAGTGATTTCTAGCCATTTCTAGCCATCGATTAGGGTCGTTTTCAAGTCAAATCATTGTAATTTTCTTTAGAATTCATTTATCTATGTATAGATTCATTTTTCTGGGTTTATCAAGCTAATATCAAGCTATTATCTACCTTATCAAAGTGTTTCCATCAACTCACCCAACTCTAAGATCTTGTATCAATCGGTACTCGGCCTCGGAGCTTCCAACAGCAGAAAACAGAATGGAAAGGATGAAAAACGAAAAGAAATCCGGCATTTCAAAGAAATCACCACAAAAAAATCGATCAAATCCACATATTTTACGAAGATTTCTTTCGTTCTTTCTTAAAGTGAAATTGAGAAATTGATTGAAAGAATTTGCGCACAAACAAAAAAAAAAAGACAACACAAGAAATGGGACTGGACTGGGCTGAGTAAATAAAAAGGAATTCATTGAAGAAGCCAAAAAATATCTAAATTGTTTTTTGTTATATCTAAATAAACAAAATACGGAAAACAATTCAATAAAACCAAAACTGGACAGCCGTTTTGCATAGCCAGAACTTTGACTTTGTCTTCAGTTTGAGAGCAAAGAACTTTGGCTAGAGCTTTGCCTAGAACTTTGCCAACTTTGACAAGAAATTTGCCTTGCACTTAGATTATTCTTAGCTTTATATATTGTTGAATAGAAGAGATTTTACGCTTTCAAATGATACTAGAAATTGCTTGATTTCAATAACAAATCATTAACAAATCATCAACAGAAAACTTGGCGAAATCGTGAGGGAAAACTTTAAACTAGACAACTTTAAAAGCCAATAAATTTGTCTAGAACTTAGATTATTCTTAGCTTTATATATTGTTGAATAGAGGAGATTTGAGGCTTTTAAATGATACTAAAAAGAGCTTGCCAGAAGTTTGACTTTGTCTTCAGTTTGAGAGCGAAGAACTATGGCTAGAGCTTTGCCTAGAACTTTGTCCATAACTTTGGCTAGAACTTAGATTCTCCTTAGCTTTATATACCGTTGAATAGAGGAGATTTTAGGCTTTTAAATGATAATAGAAATTGCTTGATTTCACTAAGAAATCAGGGAAAAATTAATCTCAAAAATTTGAGCAAAGTTTTCGAGATGAATTTGTCTCAAATTCGCCGATAATTGTCTATTCTAATCGCTAATTAATGCAAAAGTTTGCAATTTTCATTCCTAATTATGATTTAAACTGAAAATAAAAGAATTTCAAAAGAAAAACTGTCATTTGTTTGAGTAAAAAAGAAAAAAAAAGTTAGCTTTTTGAGAAAATTGTTGACAAAAGTGTTGACTTTTGAGTAAACATTGAAAGAGATAGGGTAGAGTTTTGTGATTGAAAGAGAGAGTTAAGGAAAAGACAACTCTAACAGACCACTTGACAGTACGGATCACTTTAACCATCATCAGCAAACAGTCACACATTGTCATAAACTAAAATTGAGTCTTTTAAAAGTCGAAACATCACCTCACACTGTGAAAAAAAATGAAAATTATCAAAGCTGAGCATTCACAAAGGTACAGTCATGTGCAAAAGTCTTTTAAAACTTAATTTTCTAAAAATTTACATCGATTTTCTTTGATAAAGTTCATGGCGCTCTTTAAGCTATTAATAGTTTTAGCTACACAAATATATGTACAATTTATTTACACAAACGCTGTCGCTATACAAAATTTATTCATCGAGAAAAAATATAATTGTCAAAACACCCCTGAAAATCGTGGTGCAAAAGTCACTTGAAAAAATTTTTGATTATTTTCGTTCGCTTCTTGTTTACTGGTACTAATTTATTTCTTTTTAGCTGCCACGAGCGTATTTGTCAACTCCGGATAAAGAAATGATCGTCAAGGCAAGGAAACAAGGGATGTCACGACAAGACGTTGCTCGCCTCTTAGTGGTACGCCTCTTAGTGGTACGCCTCTTAGTGGTACGCCTCTTAGTGGTACGCCTCTTAGTGGTACGCCTCTTAGTGGTACGCCTCTTAGTGGTACGCCTCTTAGTGGTACGCCTCTTAGTGGTACGCCTCTTAGTGGTACGCCCACAACAGTTTCTCTTGTTATGGCAAAAATAGAATGCGTCTGGAAATGTGCACAGATGTGGGAAAAAGGGACGGCCGAGGATTACAACAAAGAATGAAGACCGATTCCTTACGGGAGTTTTCAAGAAGGATCCGAATTTGACGTTGAACGATGGAGCCATTCTTTTCAAGCAAACTTCAAACAAGAATATTTCCCGCTGGACCTTGCATCGACGTTTGCTTCAAGCAGCATCGCTATAGGAATTAACTATAGAGAAGGAACTAACTATAGAGAAGGAACTAACTATAGAGAAGGAACTAACTATAGAGAAGGAACTAACTATAGAGAAGGAACTAACTATAGAGAAGGAACTAACTATAGAGAAGGAACTAACTATCTAACCGATTATTAACAGATAAAAAAGACTTACGGCTTGCCATCTTAGCCTCCATCATTGTCACTTGGGCGTGAAGCACGTTGAGGATGTAACCGCCGTCACCGTCCTCAAACCAAGTCTCACAGTCGGCCCAAAACTCGTCGCTGCTGAGGATTTCCTGAAATGAAACTTATATGAGCAAGTGGACAACAAGAAAACCCACCTCGAGCTGCTCCTTGCATGCTTCCAGGCGATCACGCTGCTCGGCTACAGCCTCGGCCATGGTGAGCCTGAGAGGCTCACACATGGCTTTGGCCACCTTGCAGATAAAACGCCATCCTAAAAGAAAACTATGAGAAAAGGAAGCAAATTGAGAAAACATACCATTCAAAGTCTCGACGATGGGGCTCTCCAATTGATGTGCGAGTCGGGCGAAGCTAAGTTTGTGGCCGAAGGGGGAAGGAATAAACGTGCGTTTTCCCGCCGGATCCTGACGGCGCAAACGCTCCACCCTCGTCCAAATGTGTATCTAAAAGCAGATATAAAGAAAGTTAAAGATATAAAGAACACTAGCCTTTTCCACTTGACGTCGAACTCGGCTCCCGTTTGTCGTATCGTATTTGATGCCCACAACAGCGAAAAAAAGCGCCCTCAGACAGATCCACGTGCTCGATTGGCCACAAAAGTTGGCGACGAGCTAGAAAATTCAAAATTGTGGAAAGTCTATAAGCGAAACGAACCGTGAGAATGATCGAAAGCTGGGCCAGACGGCGCACCCTCTCCGGCGTCGCTTCGACATCGTGTGTGGGGGGGGGGCACCTTCGGTCGGGTGGGTGCAACCCCACGGCCACCACCACGGCCTCGGCGGCCACGACCACTCCCACGAGCCGGAGCCGGCGCAACAGCCACCACCGGGTCCTAAAGTCTGAAAGTTATTCCCAATGTCCGCAGGCGCTTTTATTCAGCCCAACGTGATTTCTTTAGGTGCGATGTGTAAAAGTTCAACAGGTCCGCTTGTCCTCGTAAAGTCAACAATGGATTCCCGCCAATATATTCAGATCTTGGACAGATGTCTACTTCCATTTGCGACTGCTTCGATGAATCCAGGATGGTTTCTTTATCAAGATAATTTGCCAGTACATAAAAGCAAATTTTTGATAAATAAATAAAGATACATATCTTCCGGGTCTATGCAAACGCAGTTCAGATCGGTCATTTCATAGGGACTCTCCTCTTAAACTTTTGCAAGAGTTGAGTTGAGTTGTCAGGGTGTTAGAGATGGCAGGATATCAAAAGGATTCACTCTCTTTAACCCAGATTCTAGTCCATATCCGTTTACTCTTCGGGACGAACAATGATTAGCTTTATTTTTGATGTCACTTTTGTAAACAATGATTATTGATAACTGAATGACAATGTTTAATGATAACTGAGCAACAATGATTACTGATAACTGAGCAACAATGATTACTGATAACTGAGCAACTATGATTATTGATAACTGAGCAACAATGATTAATGATGACTGAGCAACAATGATTAATGATGACTGAGCAACAATGATTAATGATGACTGAGCAACAATGATTACTGATAACTGAGCAACTATGATTAATGACAACTGAACAACAACAACAATTTCTGATTAATCCCTTTTCATTTATTCAATCAATAACTTTATTTAAATATTAAAAATAAGAAAATAAATATCATAATTAATAGTTTTATGTTGATTTTATTTTTAGCTCCATTGCAGATTAATTTTGGCGTTCGCGGCACACCATCATTTCTTCGAGGACCTGGGTAAACGATTCGGCAACTGGAAAAGAAGAATTTTAATTGATAATCTAAAGTTGATAAGATGATAATTGTTTTGAATAGATATTTAGACTTCGCATTGAACATAATCCTTAGATTTGTGAGCCTAATAGTGAGACAAAGAGAGTGTAAAACAGTAAACAGATTGAACAGGAATCCCGTGCAAAGTCTGGCTCTAACTCTGGCTTTGAGATCAACTTCTGAAGATCAGAGCTTGACTCTTGAACTTGACTTGACTAACAGTGACCTAGACTGGGCTAGCCGAAGCCTTAGAACTATGATATCACCAGTACTCACCCATTTCTCAAGTTTGGACTTGTCGACGGTGCTTTAACAGTGATCCTCGGTCGTCCTTTCCTCTTTTTTGTCATCATTGTCGTGGATAATGTAGTCGTGACCAAGATCGGATCTTCTGTTGCAGGGATTTGTTCTCTTGGTGGTGGTGATGTGGTTGTGGTTGTTGTGGTTGTTGTGAGTGTCTCAAGAAAGCCTTCATCACTCTTTGCTGTCTCTTTCAATTCAATATCCGATTTGATAGTGGTCGCAAAGGTAGTCTAAATTTGAAATCTCATAAATACTGTTATTGAAGCTCTCTAGAAGCCTTCAATAAGCCTTTAATAAGCCTTCAATAAGTATAATTTATCTCCAAAGCTCGAATCATCATCTCAAGAGAGATGAAAATTAGATTTGGATCATTTAAATCATTTGAACAAATCCACCTTTTCGATTTGTTCTCTTTGTGGTCTAGTCGTCAGAAAAACAAAAAATTTCCCGCGCAAATTCAGTAGGAAATCGGGAAACTTAGAATTACTTGATGAGAAATCCTATTTGCTATTCAATTCAATTCAATTCAATTCTTTACGGTTTAACCGAAACATGATGACTCGAGATCTTCCAATTTTAACGACAAATCCAATTTTAACGAAAGAGCTCAACCCGAGCTTCAGCAAGATCTATTTCAAGAAAAACGATTTGAATGGAAACAATGAGAGAAATGATTGCAGATTTGATTGAAAGCAGATTGAAAGCTGTTGGAGAAGAAGTGGAAAACGATTAGCATCAAGACGAAAAGCGATTTTGTGAAAATGGTTTGATCGACTTTGGTTTTTCAAAATTCGATTCTTCAAAATTGATTGATCTTGCGGTTCGAAGCCTTTAATGGACATCTACTTGAGCTGGGTTGTGAATGCGTGGAAGAAAATCATTCAGCAAATCATCCAGCAGATCATCTAGCAAATCATTCAGCCAATCATCTAGCAAAGCATCTAGCAAATCATCTAGCAAACAATTTAGCAAACCATCTAGTAAAGCATCTAGCAAAGCATCTAGCAAATCATCCAGCAAACCATCCAGCACCCATCTAGCAAATCATCTAGCAAATCATCTAGCAAATCATCTAGTAAACCATTCAGTAAAATCATTCAGCAAGTAATCTCTACAATTCCTGCATGCTTGCATGAAAAAAACGACAATCTTCTAGAACAGGATTTTCAAAAATCCTTCTAGAGATATAGGAAAATATAGAACCCCAATTCAATGACAGCATCTATCCCAGTTCAATCACCTACCGTAATCCTCTTCTTCGGCGCAAGTGATGGAGCCGGCACAACTAGGTCCAAATCCGTTGGATCACATGTGTTCTGGTCTAAATTTTGAAACGATTTTTGAAATAATTTGTTTCATCAGATACGTAGCCGGCTTTCTATGAAAAAATTCGTTAAGAAAAGCTGACCAGGCGGCACAAAACAGCAACAAATCGAGTGCCCTTTGTGCTCGTAGCATCGATCACCGTCTTTCTCTGAGTGAATCAACAAGCAATACCGATAACGCTCATCGTTTAAATGGCTAAAAGTTTAGTAAAATTGATTTGGCTAAAAGAAAAATGAAAAAGAAACTCTTGAAATCCAACCGATAAACGCAATGATGCGTCCCGTCATTTTCATTCTCATCCTCGAGCGATTCAATCGACGTATAGGGTAAAGCAGTTGATCTGGGACCTAGATAGAGATAGATTACGGTACAGGAGTTGATCTGGGACCTAGATAGAGATAGATAAAGCGCTAGATAAAGATCTAGATCTTTATCTAGATCTCTACAAATTCATTAAAACATCTAAAAACAAACAATTTCACTCACCCGGTCCTCCACTCCTCAACAAAATCACTTCCTTTTTCTAGCCGGCTTGGATTCTTCTTCACGCACTTCCTCATACTCAATCACATCCATTCCTTTCAAATACGTATCTAAATTTAGATCAATGATCAATTAGATCGTATCTAATTGTATCAAATTTTATTTAATTCAATCTCCATCATTTAATTCATCATTTAACTCAAAACCCAACCCTCATCTTCACCAAATGAAATCTCAACAGCTTTAATTTGATCCTCATAGTCATCTTGCACAGCTCTAAAATACCTTCTCTTATCCAACTATAACACTTTTCTATATTCTAATCGATTTCTATCAAAACCGACCGTCTTTTTCTTGATCCAGTGATCACTCTGTTAGTGAAGAGGCGACTCTGTGAGCCAGATGGGATCTAGAAACGAGTTAGCTTGTCCAGAGAACTTCTTAAATCCATAATCCATAGATTTATTGATGGATTTATAGATAGAAATTATAGATCTATAGTTCTACAATAGCCATCTGATGCATTAAATTTGAATTCTTAAAAACCGACCACCAATTCCTCCTCATCCACCTCATATTCCTCAAAAGATTCCTCGTCTTTCTCCATTTCCATTTTTTCTTTCGCCAATCGCTCTGTGATTTAAGAATTGTTATTTTTCATGTTTTAATAGATATCTAGATGAGATAACTAGCTTGTCCAGAGATCTTAAATCGATAAAATAGATCTATAGATGATTATCAGATAGCTAGAGCAGATAACTAGAGCAGATAACTTAGCTTGTCCAGAGATCTTAAATCGATAAGATAGAGCTATATCTACTTATCAGATAACTAGATAAACCAGCTATAGCCATTCTCCAAAAAGCCTCTTCTCTTCAAGCATTCTTTATGCTTTTCCCTTAACAAAAACCTTTTCAATGCACTAAGTGCCACATTTTTTCTCTTTATTTTCTTCAATCTCTACCGTTTTTACCTCGTTTTCCATCAAATTCCCCTTTTTTGCCGTATCTTGAATGAAGAAGGCATCCAATTGCCCCTTGTCCACACTCTAAATCACCGCAATGCACTGCTGGAGCTGTGATTGAAGCTGAAAAGTTTCATTTTCATTGATCCCCTCAAAAATAACTCTCTTATTTGTTTTCTTTTCCCAATTCAAATTCACTTCAACAATTTCCTTTTGATAATCTTTTCATAATACTTTGCTTTGCTTTCTTTTTTTTCCTTTCTTTTCTTTTCTTCTCTTCTACAGCAAATTTTCCCTTAAACTTATTAAAGATTTAAGAAAAATCAGATTAAAAGACAGGCCAAACCAAGCCAGACCAAGCCAGACCAAGCCAGACCAAGCCAGACCAAGCCAGACCAAGCCAGACCAAGCCAGGTCAAGCCAGGCCAAGCCAAGCTAGGCCAAGCCAGGCTAAGCCAGGCTAAGCCAAGCCAAGCCAAGCCAAGCCAAACCAAGCCAAACCAAGCCAGACCAAGCCAAGCCAAGCCAAACCAAGCCAAACCAAGCCAAGCCAGGCCAAGCCAGGCCAAGCCAGGCCAAGCCAGACCAAGCCAGACCAAGCCAGACCAATCCAAGCCAAGCCAAGCCAAACCAAGCCAGACCAATCCAGGCCAAGCCAAGCCAGGCCAAACCAGGCCAAGCCAGGCCAAGCCAGACCAAACGAGACCAGGCTAAGCCAAGCCAGAGCAAGCCAAGCCAAGCTTTTCTTTTCTTTTCTTCTACACCAAATTTTTCTGTAAACTTATTAAAGACTTAAGAAAAATCTGATTAAAAACAAAAAAATCTAAAGAAATAACACTTTTAGATAACAAAAATCTATACCTAAATACATTTATTTGCTTTTTAAAAGGGGAAATCATCGCTTTTATCTATTTTATAAATTAGTCTTTATAAAAGTCATTTAAAAGTGAATTTCATTGCTAAAGGATTGATGAAATTAATTAATTTTTGATTTTTTCTAGAAAATGAATGGATAATTGTGTGAGAAAGTCGAAAAAAATAGTTAAAAATGGTTAAAAATCACTGACGAAGTTGATCATTTCCTGAATTGACAAGTCGACTCAACGTTGAATGATAAAGAGCACAACAGAATCTGAAAAATTCTCATGCGAATCGATCAATGAAACGTTTTTGATTTCAAAACAAACTTCACTGTCGGCTTGGCAATCATCTTTAGTTGAATGTTTTGCGATGCGATCACGTATTTGAGAAAATTTGGGTTAAACGCTCGCAAATGGAGAAGCGAACAGCGCGGAATTGGACCACAAATCTCTCCAAAAATACTCTAAAAAAGATTAAATAATCGCTTTTGATTTGAATTAGTTTTAAAAAGCAAAAAAATATCTAATTGAAAGTGTTTAGTCTCGATTGTTGAAAGCTGAATGACTTGGACAAATCGTAATTGGCTTTCTAGATTGGCTGGAAGCTGAATAACTTCAAGAAATCATAACTAGCTTTCTAGGCTAGCTAAAAGCTGACTTCAACAAATCATAACTAGCTTTCTAAGTTGGCTGGAAGCTCATAGACTTCTACAGATCATAACTAGCTTCCTAGATTGGCTGAAAGCTCATAGACTTCTACAGATCATAACTAGCTTTCTAAGTTGGCTGAAAGCTCATAGACTTCTACAGATCATAACTAGCTTTCTAAGTTGGCTGGAAGCTCATAGACTTCTACAGATCATAACTAGCTTCCTAGATTGGCTGGAAGCTGAAAGCCTTCAACAAATCATAACTAGCTTTCTAGATTGGCTTTGCACTGATTTAAAATCGAATTTCATAAACGAGCCCATTAGTTTAAAACCAATTTGTTACAGTTACAAGCTTTATATTTCCTTTTTCTCTCCAGCACTCACCTCTGTTTCTTTATCATCATCGTATTCATCGTTTTCCTGGTGCAGAATCCCTGAATCAACACACTCGAAAAGTCCGACCTATAGAAGAAATTGGTGAGAGAAAATAAAGCAAAAAAAAGCCTCGGGATTGAACCCTTGATCTCTTGACTATGAAACGATGCTCTTAGCCACTCGGCCATGGAGGCAATAATTCGTTAGGCAAAAAGACAGCTAGATAAAGCGGCTAGATAAAGAAACTCTACCTTTCCAGCATTTTTCGAGAATCGTGGATCTTTCGTTTCGAATTCAAGATATCCACAAGATGATGACGATGATGGGCATTCAATTGGCGGACTTAAACCTTTCGTTGAAACATTTCGTTCACCCGTTCGACAGAAAAGCTAAAAATTTGACTTGAAACACTTTGAATTTGAAAAGCATAGAGTTTTTTTATGTTTTCAATCATTTACTTTGACATTGTATGGTGCTAGCGGGAGCTCATCTCCTTTCAACACTGAGATAAACGTGGAAAAGAGAAAAATTAGCCTCAAATGCATCACATCACTCGTTGAGGGCTGAAAAGTTGAAGAAATTTGAATAAAATTTGATGAATTGAAGAGAAGATTGGGAAAGCTTGGGAAAGCTTGGGGAATTGTTAGTGAAAGAGGAGGGGAAAGCTGATGAACAATTAGCAATCAATCTTAAGTTTGTCGAATTGTTGAAATACAAGAGAAAGTGAAGAATTTGTGAAATGATATCAACTCTTTTGGATGGCTTGAGTTGATGAGAGGTTTGAGATTCATTTGTCAAGCTATGAGGTTGATTTGCCGAGCTTTGAGCTTGATTTGCTTTGAGATTGACTTGTCAAGCTATGAGATTGCTTTGCTTTGAGATTGACTTGTCAAGCTTTGAGATTGACTTGTCAAGCTCTGAGATTGCTTTGCTTTGAGATTGACTTGTCAAGCTTTGAGATTGACTTGTCAAGCTTTGAGATTGACTTGTCAAGCTTTGAGATTGACTTGTCAAGCTTTGAGATTGACTTGTCAAGCTCTGAGATTGCTTTGCTTTGAGATTGACTTGTCAAGCTTTGAGATTGACTTGTCAAGCTTTGAGATTGACTTGTCAAGCTTTGAGATTGACTTGTCAAGCTATGAGATTGCTTTGCTTTGAGATTGACTTGTCAAGCTTTGAGATGGACTTGTCAAGCTTTGAGATTGACTTGTCAAGCTTTGAGATTGACTTGTCAAGCTATGAGATTGCTTTGCTTTGAGATTGACTTGTCAAGCTTTGAGATTGACTTGTCAAGCTTTGAGATTGACTTGTCAAGCTTTGAGATTGACTTGTCAAGCTCTGAGATTGCTTTGCTTTGAGATTGACTTGTCAAGCTTTGAGCTTGTTTTATCAAGCTTTGAGATTGATTTGCCGCTTTGTTTTGCTCAAATTCGTGACTTGAAATCGAATTCAAAAGAATTCAAAAGAAAACTGAATGAAAATAAAGATTTGATCAAATGTGGAAACGTAAAAGCTTCCCTATTAAGCACTTATTTGGTAGTTAATGCTTGAGAAAGCTTGAATAACAATCTTATCGTTTCCAAAGCTTGAATAGGATATTATCATTTGAATTGGATGGTTTGAGAAGAGGTTGAGAGGTTGATGAGAGCTTTGCAATTGATTTGTCAAAAGCTGTCGCTGGAATTTGTGAATCTTATCATTTCTAAAGATGCTTTTAAGCTAGAAATGATTGCTGAATTGGATAGAGCCTTGAAAAGCAAGAATAATAATAATAGAAAAGCATTCTCTTCTATTAGAGTAAATACAATAAAATTTATAAACAAAGATCTCTGATAATGATAAAGTTGAATGGAAAGTTTAAGTTTGATTAAATTGATCTTTAAGCGTTTAACAGATCTAACAAAGCAACGGGGAAATCTCTCTTTAAACGAGTAACAAAGAGTTTTTATGGTAAACAGGGGAATTGAGCTGAGGTAAGTCTGGGCGACAAGAGTGGACAACTGTCTTTGACACGACTCATCCCCAGCTCCTCTCTCCTCTCTCCTCTCCCCGATCCACACATTACACCGATCACTCTCTTCATCCCAAATCTCTTCATTCATTTTCTTATGAAATACTTAAGAAAGCTTTAAGAAAGCTTCTCTTAAAGCTTTCTTAAAGCTTCCTTAAAAAGCTTTTCTTAAAAAGCTTTCCTGAAAAGCCTTCTTAAAAAGCTTTCTTAAAAAGCTCTTAAAGAGCTCTTAAAAAGCTTTCTTAAAGCTTTCTTCAAGTCTTCTTAAAGCTTTCTTAAAGCCTTCTTAAAGCTTTCTTAAAGCCTTCTTAAATAGCTCTTAAAAAGCCCTTCAAAAGCTCTTCAAAAGCCCTTCAAAAGCTTTCTTAAAGCCTTCTTAAAGCTTTCTTAAAGCCTTCTTAAATAGCTCTTAAAAAGCCCTTCAAAAGCCCTTCAAAAGCTTTCTTAAAGCCTTCTTAAACCCTTCTTAAACCATTTTCTTATTAAAAATCTTTTTAAGAAAGCTTTTTAAGTTATTTTCAGCATTTTTAAGTCTTTTTCTTTCAAAATTAGGTATAAATTTTGATTTTTAACAAAACAAAGACAAGAATTTTCATTTTAAATAACAAGAGATTCAAAAACAGTTAGATTTAAAGCTTTAAAGCTGGTTTGAGCTTTTTTTTTGATTAAAATACATCTATTTTTACGAAAAATCATTAAACATTAGTTTTTATGTTGTTCAAATTAAGATTCAAATTCAAATTAATTAAAAAGATTCGATAAATCAATCACAGAGTATGATGTGGACTTAAAAATAACTTTAAAAAAACAAAAGTAGCTAATAAAATGACAAAAAAAACCGGTCTGGTTAAGTTGAAAATGATGTGAGAAATGTGAAAATGCAAAAATTTCTAAGCAAAAGAAAGTCTGATATCGGATTTAAAAAAGCAAAAAAAAAGAGAAAACATTACACATTTTTGTTATAATAAAAAAAGAAAAACGGAAGAAATAGTGAAAACAATGAAACGTGTGTGTAAAAGATCTCAATTTTGAGTTTCATTTTATCAAATAATATTCCCAAGCTTTCGAGCTTTAAAAGCTTTGATCTTTAAAAGCTTTGAGCTTCTTTAAAAGCTTTGAGATTCTTTAAAAGCTTTGAGCTTTTGAGCTTTGAGCTTTTGAGCTTTAAAAGCTTCTTTAAAAAACAAATGATGATGATGATGATGAATACCATATTTTCTCTAATAGTTTCTCTAATCTCTAATAGTGCACCACAAAGATGCGACAATGCCGAGTTGATGACGATTTTCGGGTTTCCAAGCTTCCACAGAAGCTCAATACTCAAATCCCTCACTAGATCTCATCGTCACCTACATTTTCCGATCTCATATCAATAGGTTCTGATAAGCGGTTCTCGAGATTTCGAGGAATTTAAGCAAAGCTTAAATTGCAAAGCAAAGCTTTAAGCAAAGTATTAAAGAGAATTGTTAGCTACATTTTCCGACCTCACATCGATATGTTCTCATAAGCGGTTCTCGAGATTTCGAGGAATTTAGACGACGCTCTTGGTGCACTAGTATTAGAGAAAATATTATCAAATTTAAGAAATGTTTAAGCAAATTCGAGGAAATTTGAGTAAATTTAAGCAAATTTGAGTTAAATTTGAGGAAATTTGAGTAAATTTGAGTAAATTCAATCTTTCTATCAACGTAAAGTTGTGCAGAGCATTCATTCAGTCATAATCATTCTAAAAAAATAAAAACCTATGCTCGATATTCGCTTAAAAAAAGACAAGATTACGGTATTCTGGCGATATAGTCTTTCTAAAAGAAAGCTAAACTTTTCACTTTTCACTTTGCATTCAATCAAATATAAACCTTACTTTCAGTTTAATCCTTCGGCTTGTGTTGAACGAGAATTTCGGTGTGATGGAGAGTTCGACAATCCGCTAGCGGGCGAGCTTGAAACAAGCAATTTCGAGCAATTTCTCTGTGGGATACATTCAGTTAAAACAAGAGGAATCAATCTCATGAATAAAAAACAAAAAAATGCTTTTTTATATAAAAATAAAGTATTTATAAAGAAAATTTATGTAAATTTTATTAAAAAAATATTATTTTATCGATTAGATATAAAAAAAAAGCAGTAGGATAAGGCAAAAGAAAGGAATTAGCGTATTCTCTCTGATAGTAGTGCAGTTGATGACGATTTTCGGGTTTCCAAGCTTCCACAGAAGCTCAACCCTCAAATCCCTCACTAGATCTCATCGTTAGCTACATTTTCCGACCGCAAATCAATAGGTTTTGATAAATGGTTCTCGAGATTTCGAGGAATTTAGGCAGAGCTTTAGATGCACTACTATTAGAGAGAATACGGTACTTGAGCAGCTGGCCGACCGGTTATGGAGTCTTGTCTCTTCAGCGGAAGGTCGAGGGTTCAATCACGCTGGTAAGATAAGGCAACATCACACTTTAGCCACCAACAGTCCAGTTGATGACGATTTTCGGGTCTCCAAGCTTTCACAGAAGCTCAACACTCAAATCCCTCACTAGATCTCATCGTTAGCTACATTTTTCGACCGCAAATCAATAGGTTCTGATAAACGGTTCTCAAGATTTCGAGGAATTTAGGCAAAGCTTTAAATGCATTAATATTAGAGAGAATACGGTAAATAATGAATGAGAAAATTCTTCAAAAGAAAATAAAATAAAGAAATTATGAATAGAATAAATGTTTTTTTGTTTTTCGCTAATTAAAAATCATTCTTTATCATAGATATTCAATTCTTTATGGCATTTAAAATATATACAAATTTAAAACGATTAAAACAGCTCATTAACATTAACGAAATCAAATCTCGAAACGGAAAGCTTATCCAAGTTAAAGCCTCATTTGAAATCGGGGAAAATCGCTGGTTTAAAATGCTTTTAAATGCTTTTAAATGCTTTTAAATGCTTTTAAATGCTTTTAAATGCTTTTAAATGCTTTTAAATGCTTTTAAATGGTTTTAAATGCTTTTAAATGGTTTAAAATGGTTTTAAATGGTTTTAAATGGTTTAAAATGATTTTAAAATGATTCTAAAATGATTTTAAAATGATTCTAAAATGATTTTAAAATGAAAAAAAACGTTTTCAAAAAAGTAAATAAAGTGTCAATATTTATAAGAAATTTAAATGCAAATTGATTCAATTCCATTTGATTCAATTGCCTCATTTCATCACCGAAACCCTTTTGATCCCCTTCCCATCACCGCCCGTCCAGTTGGGGGTATAGCTCAGTGGTAGAGCGCTCGCTTAGCATGCGAGAGGTCTGGGGTTCAATTCCCCATACCTCCAAGAAGTTTTTGTTTTTCTTTAAAAAAGAAAAGATTTCTGTAAGAGGTGGAGATTTCAGCTATAACAGCTTTGATTCAAAACTATCAAAGCTGTTTAAAGAGAACAAATCCAAGAGAAAAATGAAGATCATTTGATTTGGTTTAAATTCACTCCGATCTATTAAGCGGATTTGATTTGACTCCGATTTCCTCAAAAATCAACACTCAAAATCCTTCAATAGTACTTTCCAGTCGTACTTTCAATAGTACTTTCCAGTCGTACTTTCAATAGTACTTTCCAGTCGTACTTTCAATAGTACTTTCCAGTCGTACTTTCAATTGTACTTTCAATCGTACTTTCAATAGTACTTTCCAGTCGTACTTTCAATAGTACTTTCCAGTCGTACTTTCAATTGTACTTTCCAGTCGTACTTTCAATTGTACTTTCAATCGTACTTTCCAAAGTCAAAGTCAAAGTCAAACTCTTTCTTGAATCAAAGCATTTCTTTGTGTTTTTTTGAGAGAAGTCTGAAAAAAAAAGCAAATGGTCAACCATCTGTTCAATGAGCGAAAGCAAAAAGATCCGATCGTGGCTGAACAATCGTTTTCTTTGAAACTCGCCTACTATACAACTCTTCGTGTTTATGGATTCCTCTTTTTAAAACACCATTTCAATCATTCTAAACAAATAAAAACACTTTTATTCAATTCAATTTTTGAATCGAAATCTCCTAAAAGATTTACCCCAAATTTTTTCCCTCAATTTCTCAGCATATTCTTCTTTTAGTTGTTTGTTCTTTACTTGAAGCTCTCAAAAAAAAAAACCAAATTTTGCACCCTCAATTCAAACAATTCTCGAGTTTTTTCTTGATTTTCATTGATTTCTTTGTCTTTACCAATCAATCACCAAAAAAGGATTGCTTTTAAAGAATTGCGTTTAAAGGATTGCTTTTAAAGAATTGCTTTTAAAGGTTTGCTTTTAAAGAATTGCTTTTAAAGCCGATTTTTCTCAAATTACCAACTTCTTTCTTTAAATTAAGCAAAAGACCATAAATTTCCCGTAAAAAGAGACTAAAGATTGATTGCTTTTTAAAGCAAAAAAAGCAAATTATCATGAAACTTTGACTTTCTTGATCTTTCTTTAACTTTCTTTAACTTTCTTTCTTTCTTGTCTTTCTTTTTCTTTCTTTTTCTTTCTTTATCAATTAATTTCTCTTAGATTCTCCCCAACAAAAATGACTCGATTAATTGGAAACTTTCTCATGTTTATATCAACTGCATTCACACTGAATATTGATGGAAAGGTAGATCTAGATCTATCAAAAAAACAAAAACCAATCCTCTTCTAGATCCTCTGCCCAAACGGCTTTCAAGTCTATAAAAGCGATTTTTCGCTTTACACTCAAAAGGGATCTGGTTTGTTTGAAGGAATACTTTAGCTTACTCGGAAATCGTTTAGAACCGCTTTACCGTCACTCGGAAATGAACAATGCCGAGTTTTGCGTCTCAACAGAACCCCTGCAGTTAAAGAGAGGAGAAAGACTTGTGCTGAACATCGACTACACGTGTAGAATGCTTTCAAAAGTAAATTTTTCCCAAAAGCAAAGGCATTCTTGGAGGTATAGGGAATTGAACCCCAGACCTCTCGCATGCTAAGCGAGCGCTCTACCACTGAGCTATACCCCTATCTGGTTGAGGGTAATGGGAAGGGGATCAAAAGAGGTTTGGCGGCGAAATGACGCAATTTTGGAATTGCGTCATTTCGCCGTTTAAATTTGCATTTAAAAGCTAGACAAAAATTCGCTAAATGGTAATGTTTAAATGGAAATTTTTTCCAAATGCTTGCGCCTAATTTTAAGCAAAATTCACGCATCAATTGCACCAAAAAAGATGTTTTTTCTTTTATCTGGAGCGCACAGCACGTATTGACATGGGTAATTTTGTGAATAAATCACTTTTTCAGGTTTGCTCCTATTCGGATTCAATGAAAGTGCCAATGTTGCTTAAATCGCCATTCAAGCCCCGTTTCGAGGCAAGCGATGAGAAAAAGATCAAATGTGGACGGCTTAAATTCAATCCAGAAGAGATTGAAGCGAAATACTTGATGTTCGTTCATCCTTAGATTGCTTGGAGTTGATAAAAACTCCAGTTAAACTGGAGTTGATTTCTTTTTTCTTTTTCTTTTTCTTTTGCTTTCTTTTTTTAGCTTTCTTTTCTGAATCCTTTAAATCTTTTGATTGAATAAAATTAATTTATTATTTAGCTCATCTATAAATATACAAATATGATATTGAAAAATTCGACATGGATTTTTTTGAAAGAATAAACCGGCAATTGCATTGGTGAAATGGTGAGATTTGAGGAAAGAATTGTGTTGAGCTGATTCTTGAGCAAAGCTTGCTGTTGTCGATGATGAGAAACACTGGAATAAGAGAAATGAGCAATGGTTTGCACTGTGATAGTCACCGTATCTCGTCTAGAATCCCTAGAATCCCTAGAATCGCCTACGATCCTCTACGATCCCCTAAGATCCCCTACGATCCCCTACGATCCCCTACGATCCCCTACGATCCCCTATGATCCCCTACGATCCCCTACGATCGCCTACGATCGCCTAGAGCTACAGCTATAGCTACAGGGATCGTAGGGGATTGTAGGCAATTGTAGGGATTGTAGACGAGATACCCTACGATCCCTACGATCTCCTACGATCCCCTACAATCCCTGTAGCTATAGCTGTAGCTCTAGGCGATCGTAGGGATTGTAGACGAGATACCCTACGATCCCTACGATCCCCTACGATCCCCTACAATCCCCTATAGCTACAGCTACAGCTACAGCAGCTACAGCTATAGCTATAGCTCCAGTTGGTCCCTCTTTCTCACCTTAAACCCGGCAGCAAGATCCGCCGCAAGCCTGGTAGCCGGACGAGCACGAGCACGATGATCCCGACGATGTGCATGGAATCACAATTTGTTGCGCTTGTTGGCAAGTTTGTTGACAAGTTTGAGCGCAAATCGGTTGACATTGGAGAACGGTTTGTGAGCTTGTGCATGAATTCATACACTGATTTTGGCATGTATTTTGACAAGAGTTCTGCTGTTGTTGTTGGAGGACGATGATCGGCTGCGATTGTTGCTGCTGACAGTTGCCGGACGAGCACCCACAAACGTTGTTGCATTGAGATTGACAAGTTTGAACGCAGACTGGTGTCGGGCATTGTTGTTGGCACGAGTTTGAGCAAGAGGATGAGCTAGAAATTGTTCTTAGACTTTTCTAGACTTTCTCGAGCACAAACCATTGATTGTTGTTAGGGACAACGATGACAATCGGTTGTTGAGAAGACGAGCATTGCGAATTGCAAGCTGATTGACATCCTTGGACACAAACCGGGGTAGCGCACTGACTCTGACAAGCAGATTGGCACGAGTTACAGCAAGGAGATTGGCATTGTTGTTGTTGGGGTTGTTGGACAACAATGATCGGTTGCTGGAATTGATTTGATAGATGAGATAGAGCAAGAATAATTCCTTACTGATTGCTGGCAATTATTTTGTGGGCAACATTGTGGGCAAGAGTTCTGTTGACATGTTTGGAGACAGATCGTGTTTGAACCACACGAGTTTGAGCATGACGATTGGCATTGATTGCATGATTGTTGAGCAGGGATAGCGATAGCAATCTGAAAGAGGTACAACTGTTGTAGCTGCTCGTAGTCGATTAGAAACTCTAGAAACTCACTCCACATTGTTGCTGGCAACTCGATTGACACTGATTGCTGCATTGGCATTGCTGACATCCACACGCCTGTTGACACTGCTGGACACAAACTGGCACACACTAAAGATCGAGAAAGATTTAGCTTTCCCAGGCAGAGCTGGGTTACAGTAATCCAGCAAATTTGTGATTACCTGTGTCTGCTGCGATCCACACGAGCTACATCCCGAGCATCCGCATTGTCTCTTTGCTCTCACCACCGCTGATGTGCTCACCTCCTCTTTTGGAGCCTCAGTGGACACCTAGAAAAGTAAGAAAAAGATAAGGATGAATATTGGATGTCACAGTTGATATCAAAGCTGTCAATTCATTTAATAGCTTTGTTATCAACTATCAATTTATTCAAAAGAAGAAAAATTCAGCTTTAGGATAAAATGAGAAGATTTGATAAAGGAAAAGATAAAGTTTAAAAGCTACAGAAAGCTACAGAAGGCTACAGAAGGCTATAGTAGACTACAGATGGCTACAGAAGGCTACAAAAGACTACAAAAGACTACAGAAGGCTACAGAAGGCTACAGAAGCCTACAGAAGCCTACAAAAGACTATAGAAGCCTACAAAAGACTACAGAAGGATCTGCAGATGATCAAATAGTTACAGTAACCACTCACCTCAGCCTCTTCAGCGTAAACGGAGACGAGGAGAAGAGTGGCAAGGAAAAGACCCTTGACGATCATTTGTGCAATGTGAATGGGATGTGATGTGGCCGGCTGGGCTGATTGATCGAGCTTTTAAAGCAAGATTTTCAGGGGTGGGAGGGATGGGGTTGTCCAAAAGATGGGCTGGGCTAGGGTACCCCGGGCCACCCCAGTCCCCAGCAGTCACAAACATTGACTCATCCGGAAGCGCACACAATGCGGCGACAGGCTGGGAAAAGAAATGCAAAGAGATAATCAAGACTCACGTCAGGGTTGCGAGTTTTGAAACGAAAAGGGTGGGATCCGGGGGTACCCAGGGATCGATGGAGTCTCTCTCGGTGATGACGTCACCCACGTGTGGCTTAGCTGCTCCCCCTTTCTTCTATAGAATCAATTTCATATCTAGTACGGTCTGTGAACCTGTGTGAGCTCGGGTACAGTAGTTTTAAGACAACAGTAAGCTGGAGTACTGTAGCTGGGATGCAGCAGCTGGAGTACTCGACTTGTAATCCCTTTATCTCCTCAAGATTCTAGAAATTTCAAAAAATCCAGTAGCAGCCTTGAAATTTAGCAGAAAAACCCAAAAACTATGTAGAACTCTGATCATTTTTCACCCTTCTTCGCTCTGTGTACATTTCTTCTCTCTCCTACGATCTTTTTCACACAACAAAGATCACCAACACCCCAACCAATTGCACCAGTTTTCAAGCTGGATATCACTAGACAACTGCAGCTTATCATTTCCCAAATATTTGCAAATCTAGAATTTTTGTGTACCTTTCACCTCTTTTCACCTAGCATCTTATGCACAACAAAGATCACCAACAGCCTAACAAATGACACCAGTTTTCAATCTGGATATCACTAGGCAACTACAGCTGATTAGTTTCCAAATATTTGTAAACTCTAGGTTTTTTTGCAATCAAGGATTTTACATTATCCAAGAGTAACGCTAAGTACACAGTTTCTTCTGTTTGATTTGCGCATAGACACTTTTGTAAACAAGGAGAGATAATTGATGGATTGATGGGGGTGGATTGATGGGGAATCAGTAAATAGTAAATTCTACAAGAAATTTACATATTCTAAGCGAAATTTGAATATCCATTAGCTTCCAGAAAACCTGCAAAATCCTTACTTAAGTCGAGTTTTAGCTCAAAAACCCATTTTCTCAACCGCCAACCAGATGGGGGTATAGCTCAGTGGTAGAGCGCTCGCTTAGCATGCGAGAGGTCTGGGGTTCAATTCCCCATACCTCCAAGAATGTTTTGCACTAAACCAAAAATTGGTTTAATGACTAGATCCTTAAATTCTACACTACACTGCACTACACTACACATTCCACAACCTATCATTTCCAAGATTTCTACAAGAAAACGCTTGTCTTTTTTTCATTGAACCTCTGCATTGTTGTCGGGGTTAGATCGAAAGAAAAAAAAAAGAGGTGACCGGTTCTATAAAAAGGAGCCTTGTCTGGGTCTAAGTCTCTAAAAAAAGAGTCGAAGATAGAGTCAAAGGCTCTAGAGAGTCCAAAAGATGATTTCTTTCATTGAAAACTAACCGGCTACCTCTCTTTTTTGCCAACATTCCACAGTGTTTCTTCTTCAGCTGACTCATTTTTTTGGGATTTCTTCATTAAAGAAACATTTTTTAAGTAATAATTAGCCTTTTTAAGTGTAAAGAATTGGAAAATTAAACTAATTTAAAGCTTATTTCAAATACGATTCAACAATACTTTTTGAAATTTTGTTTGTAAACGGAGATTTACCATCCTTCATGCTTTATGAAAAGGTTAAGATAGAATCAATGACATTAATGCCATCAAGGCTATCAATGCCAATCAATGCCAATCAATGCCAGTTAATGCCAATCAATGCCATCAATACCATCAATGCCATCAATGCCATCAATGCTAATCAATGCCATCAATGCCATCAATGCCATCAATGCTAATCAATGCTATCAATGCCAATCAATGCCATCAATGCCATCAATGCCAATCAATCCCAATCACTGCCACGATCAATGCCATTCGAAAATGATTGCAAGATCAAGTGCTCGACGCTCTTTTACGAAGTCTGTCGATCTTTTTCCCCAATTTCCCCCTCCCCTGCCTTAGCCAGCACCCGATTGAGAGGATTGGAAAAGAAAGGGAAAAGAAAAGAATCGCCTTGATGACGATTCATTTTGCTTCACCACACAAACAAAAAAGTCTTGTCTTTGCTAAAGAAAATTTTCTGGAAAAGGGATTCTGATGAGTGAAGTGATCTTTATTGCTCAATTTTACTTCTTTCAATAAATCTTTTGAATCAAGCATTAGTGAAAATGATTCAAGACTAGTTTCTGGGGTTTTTCGAGTGGTTCAACAAGTAGCGAGCATAAGAATTTCTGAAATAAAGCTTTTATTAAGAGATTTTAGAGTAGATCGCTCTAAAAAAAGCGCTCAAATTCAACAGGCAACTAGTAGGCTGATATTTGGTATTTTCTTCGTTGAAATATCGGATTGATCTTTTTGATCAACTGATCAATTCAATGCTAGATGATAATCGAGTGGTTAGACAAAGAAACACCACATTTCATTCCTAAAACTTGATCTTCATTCAAAGCTCTTTGTTTTGGTTGTTTAAAAACAACGTCTTTCATTATACTTTACTCAAAACAAGAGAAAGTACAAATTCAAACATAAATTGAGGAATTTGAGCCTTTTTGAGAAGAATTTGAGAAGAATTGAGAAGAATTGAGCGTCTTTAATCATCTTTAATCAATTCTTCTCTCTAAAGCTTTTCTGAAGCTTTTCTAAACCTCTTCCAAAGCTCTTCCAAAGCTCATCTAAAGCTCATCCAAAGCTCTTCTAAAGCTCATCTAAAGCTCTTCCAAAGCTCTTCTAAACCTCTTCCAAACCTCTTCTAAACCTCTTCCAAACCTCTTCCAAACCTCTTCCAAACCTCTTCTAAACCTCTTCTAAAGCCCAGGAATTCAAAAGTACGTGAAGCACTTTGTCTTCGAGAATGCTTTTACTTCAATCTTCTTTATGATCCTTGAAGGCATTCAGTTTAACGTGATGCTTGAGTTTCCTCCTCAACATCTTCAGTGAAGCCTTTCCCTTTCCACTCAACCATATCTTTAGGGGGTTTTCCGTTTCCGCATTGTTTCTCTTTCGATGATCATGGAGTTGATTGACGGAATGGAAAAGAAGAAAAGAGAAAGAAGAAAAGAGAAAGAAGAAAAGAGAAAGAGAAAGAAGAAAAGAAAATCTTTCTCTCTCTCGAAAACTGTTCCGCAAATAGAGGCCTGGAGGGTCTGTTGAAGGAAAAAAAATAGAAAAAAAGAAGGCACGTGTGTCTGTACTTGGTTCTATTCTTTATTTAAAAGACAAGCAAGGGATTGTAATTGTGATTAAAGATTGTAAAAGATTAAAATTAAAATTAAAATTAAAATACTAATCGTCAAAAATAATCACTTTACTTTTAATTAAAAATTTTTTTTTTTGCATTTAAATAATGAAATGAACGTGAAGCAGTTTATCTTTGAACGAACACTGATCGAGGCGCGCTGCCACTTCTGGGGGTTATTGAGGGGGCACCTAAGCCTCATAGGGCACCCAAGTCCCAAGTTTCGATTTAAATCCAAGGGCCTTAACACTGTAGAATGATCAACCCCTAACTCTTCTCCCCAATTCACGCGATGATACCCGATGGTCGTTGGGAATGAATTCAAGTAATTTGGAATCATCCAGTTGTGGTGCCGCTCCACGGCTCTCTGCATCTTTCAAAGATTTGTCCCCAGATCGAAACTTGGCAAACCATGCTCGACACGTTCTTTCGGAAGGTGAGTCCTCTCCATATATATCTTTTTAATATTAGCAGGTGCCAAGCTTGCACTGTGCTCTTGTAGGAAGCATGACATCACGAATATATTCCGATGGCAGATTGTGCAATAAAAGAATTATGCTATTATTATATGCAAATTATGCTTTCAGCTAAAACTGGAAGCATAATTTGGAAGCGGAAGCACAAACTCCCTTTCAGCCGGTTTAAATGCTGTTGTTTTATTTAGCTATGAGTCCCACGAAATAGCCTGCAGCTTTCAATTCGCCAATCCAATACTTTCCTTTGATTTTTTTTTTTTTCAGCATTTTTATCAGCAGCTTGTCTTATCACTTTTTTTTTTCATTCAAACATTTGATTTGTTGATCTAGAAGCAAAAAAGAAAACCGTTTTCCCTTTATTTGTCGAAATTTGTTGACTCAATAAAACTAGATTCAAAAGAAAAAAAAAAAAAAAAATGATTTCTTTAAGTTATCGAAAATTTTTGAAAAAAAATTCCCTTAAAAATAAACGAAAATTTTTAAGCGAATTTTTTTCTTATTTATTTTTCTTAGCTTTTAGATTTTCTTTTGATTAAGCAGCTAATTTTTTAAATCATTTTAATAAATTTTAAATTAAGCTAGATGCTAGAAAAGAGCGCAAAAAAATCGATTCTCTAGAGAATCTCTTTTTTTTTTTACCAAAAACTCAATAAAAGATTTCCCTTTTCCCTTCGCAAAGATTTGCAAAAAAAAAAACATAAAGCTGAAACACCCGTTTACCAAACGAGCAAAAGCTGATAAAGCTGATGAAGCTGAGGAATGGAAAAACAAATCTGAGCAACAATTTCTAGCAAATTTTTTGATCCAATTTTTTGACCCAATTTTTTGATTCAATTTTTTGATTCAATTTTTTGATTCAATTTTTCGGCCATTAACAACGACGATCAACATTGAAAGCGATTCTGCTTGTCGTCGATTTTCCTTACCGTCGATTTTCCTTAAACGAAAATCATGATTTTCATCTTTAAACGAAATTCTAAGTAACCCAAATCTCTACGATTTTCGTTAAATCCCAAAAACCACAAGCAAAATTGTAACCAAAGACATTCGCGTCTTTTCTCGTTCTCGTTCTCGTTCTCGTTCTCGTTCTCGTTCTCGTTCTCGTTCTCGTTCTCGTTCTCGTTCTCGTTCTCGTTCTCGTTCTCGTTCTCGTTCTCGTTCTCGTTCTCGTTCTCGTTCTCGTTCTCGTTCTCGTTCTCGTTCTCGTTCTCGTTCTCGTTTGTCAGTAACGATTTTCACATGAATCCAATGCCAGGATGCCGCAGAGTTGTATGTGACGATTGAAGAAATTTGAAATAGTCCCTCGCGAAAGCTTTTCAACTGAATTCTCTTGCGATTCTCCGTGATAAAGTCGAGTTATCGTTTCGTTTTCATTTCTTAATCGAATACAATCGCAAATGCAAACGAGTCCAGAGCTACTTCAAAGGCACGACTAAACGGCAAAAGCAAAAAGTACGTCAAAAATCGAAGCTAAAGATGGAAGCTAAAAATCGTACTGAATAAATTCTCGCGGAAATTCTCTCAAAAAGTCATTTAGCAAAAAAAAACGGGATTTCCAGGGTCAAACAAGTTTTTTTTCCTGCGCCGTGATTATTTTGATGGCGAAAACTTGAGGAAAATTCTTCTGCGAACTCCCTTTTTTCAAATCCAGGTTTTTTCCGATTAGCTATATGGGGAAATAAACTGAAAATGGCAACAATAAGCAGTTTTTCCCGCCGCAAATCCTTTTCTATCATGCTTGCTCACTCTCAAGCTTTTTTTTTTTCTTATTTTTCCAAATCCTGGATGTCACGAGGCAGATTCACCCAATTTTTACTGTGAAATTGTCATTTTTACTTTTTAGTTGAATATCTTTAGTCTTTTTGTGTCTTCGTGCTCCAGAAACAGTTCGTTTGCATGTTTTGGAACGCACAGAGTGCACAGGGATTGCTTTTTTTGAACTTGGCTTTGAACTTTGGTTTGTCGCTATTGCTATCTGGCACACACCGATGGCACTGATGGCACACCAATGTTTGATGGCATCGCCAATGTTTTCAAAAGTCTTAGTGACATCCAGAAAGATCAATTTTCTTCGAAATCTAGCTTTTCAGAACTTTTATCATATCAAAAAGCATTTGTTTAGCGTTTTCTCAATCATTTCCCACTTGTCAGTGATTCAATCAGTTTTTTTTTCTTCCCATCATTCTCATTTTCCCTATCTAGATTCTAGCTGGCACAGAAAAGAGAGACGTTAATTTAAGATCGATGAAAAAGGAGATGAAGAACTTTGGCGAGTTTTGACAGCTTTCAAATCAACATCAAGATATAGAAGTTCAATTTTTTTTTCCTTTTCTCGAAACCTTTCCAATCTTTTTCTGAAATCTCAACAAAAACAGCAATACTAACTCTTTTCGATTCGACTTTTATCTCAAAAACAAATCGGGGTCAGAAATGGGAAAATTTTCAAGCTTTTCAAGCTTTCAGCAATTCTTTCATTCAAAAAAGCCATCCTTTTCTGGCATTTATTTGGGGATGAATGGGGAAAAGAGCAGATTTGAGATTTGAGAAGAAATTGAAAGAATTGAAAGGGGATTTCGATCCATACAGTGTGAAGGCTAAAGGAAAAGTATCCCTCCTCCAAATCTCAATGGCAGTTCAATATCCAATCCATTCATTTCTTTCCTACCAGCCATCCAAATCTTTTAAATCGTTTGTTTTCATTGATTTCTAAAATGTTTACATTAAAGCTACAGTGATTGTTCTTAGTATTGAACTGGACTACAGAGTACTGTAACTTTACCGCTTTTTTTTCCAGAACCATTTCCAGAACCCATGTGGTTACTCTTCCTATTCATCACTCCCATTTTCGGGGTCTACCTTCCATTTGAGTGAGTTTAAAATAGCTATATAATAGCCATATAATAGCCATATAATAGCCATATAATAAATCCTCGTGACATCCAATTGATGATATTTTTGTAAAAACAAATTCCAGGCAGCGCTATGTGTCGATAAATGGCGGCCCGCCACTGCCCGTCCAATATGTAAGTGCTGGATTACTGTAACTATCTTACTAACTGGCTCTGAAATAGCCTAATCTTTGGTTGACTGATGAGTCTTTGGACACTTTATTACTTGATTATAAATCTGCTTAAAATTGAAAAGTTCATCAATTGATCTACCGTTTGCTCTAAATAGAAAAGGTTTATTATTCATTTTTCTATCTCTTTAAATCAATCTGAGCCCGTTTTTAAGCAAAATTGAGTGCAAAAACTCATTTATCGTATAATTTCATAAATAGATCTACAAAGAAATTGGCTGAACAGATTGTTCTGAAAATTTTTCGCTTTGCCTAACTTTGCTCTAAACATCTAACTGGATATCAGAAGGAACTTTCCAGATTGAGTTTCACTGAATAACTGAGCAATAAAACAGCTCCAAATTCACTGAAATATGGCTCCGCATTTCAAGGCTCTAGATTGAAAGATTAAACTTCGTTTTTAGTGTCAAACATCTAACTGGATGTCAGATTGTGCTTTTACAAATTGATTTTCATTAAATAGCTGCCTTTTTACAGCTCCAAATTTAATATGGCTACGCGTTTTAAGACTCTAGCTTGCAAGACGTAGTTTCAAATTGAGTACTGCCCGTCTAGTTGGATATCATAGGGTACTTTCCGAGCTGACTATAAGCTTCAATGAATCTCATTTACAACAGCTTCAAATGCACCAAATACGACTGCGAGTTCTAAGGGACGAATTTGAAAGCTATAGTGACATTTTGGGCTCTAAACATCTAACTGGATATCAGAAGGAACTTCTCAGGTTGACTTACAATTACAATGAATTAGAGTTATCTAGGTAAACATAGCTGCGCGTTTTTTGACTCTAGCCTGCAAGACTTAGCTTCAATTTGAAAACTAAACTTCTAACTGGATATCAGAAGAAACTTTCCAGATTGAGTTTCACTGAATAACTGAGCAATAAAACAGCTCCAAATTCACTGAAATATGGCTGAGCGTTTTAAAGCGCTAGGTCAAAAAATCTGGTAGCATTTTTGACGCTAAACTTCTGATTGGATATCAGAAAAAGCTTTTCAATTGAGTTACAATGAATTGCTGACTTTTTCGACAGCTTCAAAATTATCGAGACATGGCTGCGCGTTTCAAGGCTCTAGATTGAAAGATTCGGTAAATTTTTGGATACCAAACACCTAACTGGGTATCACAAAAGCTTTCCAGATTGAGTTTTATTAAATAGTTGGCCTTTATAACAACTTCAAATTTACTGGAATATGGCTGCACGTTTTAAGACTCTAGATTGAAAGATTCAACTTCGAATTAAGTGTCAAACATCTAGCTGGAGGTCAGATTGAGCTTTCCAGATTGTGTTTCATTAAATAGTTGACTTTCACAACAGTTCAAAATTCACTGAAATATGGCTGCGCGTTTTTTGACTCTATCTTGCAAGATTTAGCTTTAAATTGAGAACTAAGCATCTAACTGGATAACAAAAGAAGCTTTCCAGATTGAGTTTTATTAAATAGTTGATGTTTACAAAAGCTCAAAATTCACTGCGCGTTTCAAGGCTCTATTAGGGTGATGGGAATGAAACCAGCGCTCACATATCTTTCCAAAAATAAAAAGATTGCAAGTCTCAACCAGTAGGTGTTCGAAATACTGTTTGTAAGCCCTGAATCTCCTCTAAAAATAGTGCAAAAAGATTTTGAATTGGAATGATTATTGGGGACTTAGGTGTTAAAAAGTAACCTCAGGTAGGCCTTTCTAATGAAGCAAACTCGTAGGTCAATCGGTGAATTCGTTATATCTAAATAGCCTTTTATATGTAGAGTCCAAAGACTTATCGGTCAACCTAATAGTAGTTATAACCGAATTTTCATGCTAAAATTTGTTTCGCTGAAGCTTTGAGCTCAAAAACCACTTCAAGCCAGCCCCCCTTTTTCTGCTGCTCCGAAAACTTGAAATCTGTTCGTCTTGCAACTCCACAGATATTGATTTTCCTTAGGAACAAATATGACATGAAAATAATATTGTTCAGGCTAAGCATTTGAATTCTGAAGCCTATAAAATTTTCTTTTAGGTTCACATCTCGCAACTCCACAAAACCCAACCTGAGCGAAAAGCCCTCGCCTCAAAACTCCAAAAATTCTCCGGAGAGAAAAGTTTGGAAGAAGCAAAGATGGGAACAAATTCACCGGATTTGAGTGCAAATCTATGTTTGGATTTAAATACATTTAAATTTTTTCCCCTAGATTTCCCCAGAATGTATTCCCTCGTTTTAGCTCAGCTCTTCGGACGAGAACAAGGACTAGTGTCGAGGTTTCCGACTCTGATCCCGGCACAAGAGCAGGTAATAAAATGAAACTGGATATGAAGATATGTATTCATAATTTCCAGCTTCTTTATCGAAAACTTGGCCTCCAAAAGAAGCATCGACATCGCCGACATCGACGCCACCGAAAACACCGAAAGCACGGGAAAAAGAGAAGGTGAAATTGGAAAATTCACTAAAATATGGCTGCACGTTTTTTAACTCTAGATTGAAAGATTCAACTTAGAATTAAGTGTCAAACATCTAACTGGATGTCAGCTTATGCTTTCCAGATTGCGTTTCATTAAATCGTTGACTTTTGCAACAGTTCAAAATTCACTGAAATATGGCTGCGCGCTTCAAGGCTCTAGATTAAAAGATTCAACTTCGAATTGAGTGTCAAATATCTAACTGGATGTCAAAAGAAGCTTTCCAGATTGAGTTTTATTAAATAGTTGACTTTTGCAACAGTTCAAAATTCACTGATATATGGCTGCGCGTTTCAAGGCTCTAGATTGGAAGATTCAACTTTGAATTAAGTGTCAAACATCTAACTGGACGTCAGCTTATGCTTTCCAAATTGAGTTTCATTAAATAGTTGACTTTTGCAACAGTTCAAAATTCAATGAAATATGGCTGCGCGCTTCAAGGCTCTAGATTAAACGATTCAACTTCGAATTGAGTGTCAAATATCTAACTGGATGTCAGCTTGTACTTTCCAGAACGGAATTGAACTTGATTGGGATAAAAATTTATATTTTTTTATACAAAATAATGTAATAATCTATAATTTTTAGAAGGAGACATCACAAAAAGAAGAGAAGACACGGGAAAAAGAAGGAAAATGGCGATGAGCACGTGGTTGAGAACGGCCCACTGACGCAGATATTGGAAGAGGTGGGCATACCGGAAAGTCTTAGTATGTACGTTTTTAGAAAAACGGAATCACCAGCCTCACGCACAAATTCGACGAGAAGCTGGCGCGCAAGAGCGACCCAGACATTGACAATATGAGGGTAAAAAATATAATCAAACTTTATAAGTATTTTCTGATTAATTGCATACTACTGTAAGTTATGGAAAAGTATATTTTTTTTACAGGTTGAGCGAACTGAACGCATCAACTTGCCCGACTACACGCAAGAGACGAGAATCTCACACAATAAACACCTCTCCCCATCGACGATGGCCATTTTGCAGAGGCTCAGGTGGTAAAGACTTGCTTGATCATTCATCTTTTGATTATAACATCAAACTTTTCTCTTTCAGAACTTCGGGCAGCTTCCTCAACCCGACGAATCCATGGTCTACCACTTCTCATTCATCCAATTTCTATCAACATCCCCTTTTCTCACAACCTGTAATCATCAAACGACCCGGTCAATCGGGAACCCTTTTCGCTATTCCCATTCATTCATCACTTCCAATCGGTGTCACTCAAAATCCCCAACTACAAATCATGGCCTATCCGCAGTTTTCACGGAAATTTGCATAGGTTTTTGAACTGAATTGAAATTTATTAAAGCTATTGAAGCTATTGAAAAGCTGCTTGTTTACATTTGAATTTGATAAGTGTTATTTGTTTTATTTATTTGATTTCCTCCATTTTATCCACCTAACTACCAAAGTGCAATCTCGAGAATTCCACTCTTTTTAAACAACCTAGCTATCCATTTTTAACTCTTCATCCTTTTCTTGCTGATCTCAAACAAAAATAAAACTTTTCTCGTTAGACAGATTCTATTTTGCTGAATTAGGCAGATATGTCTCGCTATCTCGCTGCACTACAAAAACAGACAGACTCATTCTGATAAACAGTTACCAGGTAGATGTTTAAATGTTGCTGAACCTTCCAAGGTAGAGTCTTAAAACGTGAAGTCATATTTTGGTAAATTTGAGGCTCTTGCCAGCAATTCATTAGAAATCAATCTGAAAAGCTATTCTGATATACAATTAGAAGTTTAGGGGATTAACTGCCATCAAATCTTTAAATCTAGGGCTTTAAGACCCGCAGCCATATTTCAGGGCATTTGAAGTCGTTTTATTGTTCCGTTATTGAGTGAAACTCAATCTGGAAAGTTCCTTCTTTTAAGATATCCAATTAGATGTTTAGTACTCAATTTGAAAGTGAGTCTGCCTAACTGCTCTCAGAAACAAGCAGCTGGTGAATTTGGATTGTTATCAAATGCAAGGAAGGGCAAAAGCAAGGAAAATTATAGAAAATCAATTTGGGATGATCTCTTTGATATCCAGATAGATGATTAATATCATAATCTACAATGAATCAGTCAAGCTGCTGTCTAAAAACGCGCAGCCATATTTAAGTGCATTTGCAGAGGTTGAGATGTTCAATATTTCTGTGAACTTTAATTTGAAAAGTTTCTTCTGATGTCCAGTTAGATGTTTAGTTCTCAATTTGAAACTAAGTCTTGCAAGCTAGAGTCTTGAAACGCGCAGCCATATTTCAGTGAATTTTGAGCTGTTGTAAAAAGTCAACTATTTAATGAAACACAATCTGGAAAGCTCAATCTGACATCCAGTTAGATGTTTGACACTCAGTTCGAAGTTGAATCTTTCAATCTAGAGTCTTAAAACGTGCAGCCATATTCCAGTAAATTTGAAGTTGTTATAAGGGCCAACTATCTAAAAAGACTCAATTTGGAAAACTTTTGTGATACCCAGTTAGGTGTTTGGTATTCAAAATCTTACCGAATCTTTCAATCTAGAGCCTTGAAACGCACAGCCATGTCTCGATAATTTTGAAGCTGTCGAAAAAGTCAGCAATTCATTGTAACTCAATTGAAAAGCTTTTTCTGATATCCAATCAGAAGTTTAACGTCAAAAATGCCACCAAATCTTTTGACCTAGGGCTTTAAAACGCGCAGCCATATTTCAGTGAATTTGGAGCTGTTTTATTGTTCAGCTATTCAGTGAAACTCAATCTGGAAAGTTCCTTCTGATATCCAGTTAGATGTTTAGTTCTCAATTTGAAGCTACATCTTGCAAGCTAGAGCCTTGAAACGCGCAGTCATATCTCAGTGAGCTGTTGTAAAAAGCCAACTATTTAATGAAACACAATCCGGAAAGCTCAATCTGACATCCAGTTAGATGTTTGACACTCAATTCGAAGTTGAATCTTTCAATCTAAAGCCTTGAAACGCATAGCCATATTTCAGTGAATTTTGAGCTGTTGTAAAAGTCAACCATTCACTGAAACTCAATATGGAAGGCTCTTTCTGATTTCCAGTTAGATAATTGGCATAAAATTCAGGAGTGTATTTTTCAAGTTACTTTCTAAAAACGCGCAGCCATGGTCAGTGTATTTTGAGCTAGACAGAAAGTGACGATTTATGCGGTGGAGTTAATTTTTGATCTCTAGTCTATCCAGTTAGTTGATTTCCGTTTGTAGCTCTTATAAAAGTCAGAGATTGAATGAATTTATTCTGGAAAACTTTCTCTGATATTCAGTTAGTATCCATTTTGGAGAGGAGTATCTCAATCTAATTTTAAAAGGCACAGAGATTCAATGAAACTCAAGCTGAAGAGTTCCTTCTGATATCCAAAAAGATTTTTTGTATCAAAATCAGAAGTATAAATTTCAAGCTATTGTCCAAAGACGCGCAGTCATATTTCGAAGAATTTGCAGCTGTTATAAGGTCAACTATTTCATGAAACTCAAGCTGGAAAGTTCCTTGTGATATCCAATTAGCTGTTAAGTGTCCATGATGATAGAAATTATTGCAAGTACGAGCCTTAAAACGTGTAGTCATATTTCAGTAGATTTGGAGCTCTTGTAAAAGTCAACCATTCAATGAAACTCAATCTAAAAAACGTTTTCTGCTATACAATTTGATGTTTAACACTCAATTCGAAATTATATCACCCAAGTTAGAGCCTTAAAACGCGGAGCCATGTTTCGATGATTTCGAAGGTGTCAAAAAAGTCAGCAATTCATTGTAACTCAATTGAAAAGCTTTTTCTGATATCCAATCAGAAGTTTAACGTCAAAAATGCCACCAAATCTTTTGACCTAGAGCTTTAAAACGCGCAGCCATATTTCAGTGAATTTGGAGCTGTTTTATTGTTCAGCTATTCAGTGAAACTCAATCTGGAAAGTTCCTTCTGATATCCAGTTAGATGTTTAGTTCTCAATTTCTAGCTACAGCTTGCAAGCTAGAGCCTTGAAACGCGCAGCCATATTTCAGTGAATTATGAACTGTTGCAAAAGTCAACTATTTAATGAAACTCAATTTGGAAAGCATAATCTGACATCCAGTTAGATATTTAACCCACAATTTAAAGCTAAATCTTGCAAGCTAGAGTTAAAAAACGTGCAGCTATGTTTATCTAGATGACTTTGAAGCTGTTATAAAGGCCAGCGCTTCATTTTAATTGTAAGTCAATCCGGAAAGTTCCTTCTGATATCCAGTTGAATGTTTAGTTTTCAATTTGAAGTTACATCTTGCAAGCTAGAGTCAAAAAACGCGCAGCTATGTTTACCTAGATGACTTTAGTGCTGTTATAAAGGATCTATTGTAATTGAAAGTCGGCCTAAAAAGTTCCTTTTGGTATCCAGTTGGATGTTTAGAGCCTAAAATGTCACTAAATCTTTCAAACTAGCGCTTTGAAACGCGCAGCCATATCGGAGAGTGTATCCTTATCGTTCTGCATCCGATCATGGCCCGGGCCCAAGGAGCCAATTGACACATCACTGATCAGTCACCTTTCCGGTACTCTTTAAAGTTATGATATTGATTACCATCCCATCAACAGATTAAGATAATATTTTAAAGCCCCAAAGCCCACTGAAGCTCTTACCAAATGCACCCATGCCTCCCCACTATTCCCTGCTCGATCTACCGTAGCCCTGGCACTCTTCCCATCTTTTCAGCTTCCCCTCTCCTTGTCTATTCCATTCTCTCGTTCCCCGCCAGTCTCTCTCTCGAGTAGTCACGTCTTTTTATTTCTTTTCCTCAATCACTTTATGTGTCATCCAAAATGCTAAAATCTTTTATTTCCTTTCCACCTTTTTTTGCATTCATTTGTCAGCAATTGCCTGTGACTTCCAATTTGATGTTTTTAACTGATTTTTTAAATATTCTGATCTTTTGACATTTACAAATGGCAAGTCGATTCCAACAAAAACCGATAATTTGCAAATTTTTTCTTTCAGCTGCCTTTCAGCCAATTGCTATTGCTGGGAATCATTTTTCTCCTCTCCCATTCGCCCTATTAGTGCCACTGTCCTTTTTGTTTACAAACGCCGACTCAATATCAAATGCATTTGTTTTTAAAGCACGAATTCCAATGCCATTCGCCATTCAGGCCAGCTGAAAATCAAAATTTACATTCATATTTTCTTTCTCTAACCAAATGCCCACATGACATCCAGAATTCATTCTAAACATTGCATTTTTTGTCTATCGCCTCGATTTCTCAATTTTTTTTGGTTCATTCAGTCTCGTGCCCTTCTCAGCGTTTCCTTTTGCCTCCGCCCGCACCGCGATCTCAAAACAGACAACAACCCTCTTAAAAATCACAAAAATAGACCCAAAGAGGCGGTTTAGTTTCCAAATTTATCACTAATCCAAACAAAACACAGAAACTGATGCACTGTATGACCAGGGTTGGTTTGAATTCGAATTCGAATTTTTTCGGTTCGAATTATTTTTGACAATCTTCTGTGCATCCCAGCTTATTCGAATCTAAAATCGATTTTAAGAAATCACGCAATTTCGCCAATTTTTCCCCCTCTTATCTCAAAAAGACAAAAAGCTTGATTTTATTGGGATTCCCGGGTGATTTTTTTTCGTTTTTTTTTGCTTTGGAGTGGTTCAAGACATTTTTGTGGGGTCTTGTGAATGGTTCTGCTTAGTAAAAAAGCAAAATCGGAGCCAATTTTTGCCTGTTTCTTGCCTGTCTTTATCACGTGTCAGCCATTTTTTCGTTTTTTCGTTTTCACCCTTTCTACTTTTCATTTCCCGCACTGTGCCTTCCAGTTTGGTCTTTTCGCTTTTCAATTTCTTTTTTAAACCAGTGGCAATCGTGTAAACGATCCGGGAAGGGGAAATCGAGAACCGCGATTAAAATTTCTTCATGAAATTTCATTTTATTGATGATTCCAAATTCCCTCGTGCGCTCCAGCATTAAAGATTTTCTTGCTCAACTTTTCCTTTTCTCAATAACAAACCGATTTTCTTGTGTGAAACAATTTTCGGACTTTTCTGACTCAGATTCTGCAAATTCTGCAAAATTTTAGCGATAAAATCCTCTTAAATGGTTTCTTTTTTTCATAAAAATTCAGTTTTTCCCTTTTTTTTTTGTAAAAAGCGGCTTTTCTCCTTAAAAACGATTTTGAAAAAGTAAACCGCTTTATCAATGAAATTGGAACGCTCAAAAAAAAGCTCGAATTTCACGACAATAACGAAAAATTCTTTTTTTGTGCATTCCAGCATAAAATATTAATTCGAGAAGTTTGAAATCTAAGCAATTTTTCATTGAATTTAAAGCCCCATCCAATTCTTACCGATCCAATATGCTTTCCGCTTTCTGCTCAAAAAGTTTCTGCTCAAAATCGCTACTGTGACTGCCAGAAATCACAGAAATGCTAAAATTTTCGAATTTTATCTTCAACTCATCGCGAAATTTCTCTGAAATCTTGTTCTGACGTCACTTTTGAATTGGAAGCCGAAAAAATTCGAAAAAAATGGCTCACTGATAAACTCTGATCCGTCAATCAGTCAAAACTTTTAACGAGAATTGATTGTTTAAAAAAAAAGGAACTAAAAGTGTTTGTTTTCAACGAAATCGAGTTTCCACGAAAGTTTAGTCATCAAAGATTTCAGAGTTGAGCTCTGGAAATCTTTTGGAAATCATTTCAAAGGTTTTCTGTGGTAAACTTTATCTTTTTATTGGGTTTTGTCTTTCTTTTTCCTTTTTCTTCAATTGTTTTCATTTCCAGTGACGAATCTACTCCGAATCTCCTTCAAAACGGATTCCCCGACCCGTTCTCCATCTCTTCAATGGGTTCTCCCCACACCGCATCATGGTGACATCATTCCATCACATCAATTCGCTTTCCCGCCACTCGATTCTCTCGATTGGTGGAGGGGATGGCTAGAGCCGGAAGGAAACAAGAGCACAAGTCATAACAAGTCAGTCCAAAAGGTTTGTCGTATCAAAAGTTCATCAATTTTAGAAGTATCGATGTGATGTGTGCCAGCTGTTTCAGTGATCAACCGGATGCTTTGGCGTGCACTAGGTAAGGAAATAGAGTCTGGCTGATAGGTCTGGCTGATAGGTCTGGCTGATAGGTCTGGCTGATAGGTCTGGCTGATAGGTCTGGCTGATAGGTCTGGCTGATAGGTCTGGCTGATAGGTCTGGCTAACAAATGCCCTTTTGAGATCGATCCTCGTCTCGACCCTAGCCCTTCTCTCGGCTCTTGTCGCTATCAAACGGATCATCGACTTGCACCGAACCAACCCGTCCCCAATCCGACTCCTAATATTTCTACTGATTCTCCTGCAATGCTTAGCTGGGTAAGTTCTGTGCATTCCAGAATTTAAAAGTAAACCTTTCAATCAAAAGGTTTGTTTTTTAATTTTTTAAACTTCACTCAACTTATTTTCAACTCAATCAAATTCTCAAAATATCTACAATTTTTCTAGCTATATTTATTGAATGCGTGCCAGATTGGTGAAAAAATTTGAAAATTAAGAAATCTGAGCAATTTTTGAGCATTTTGCGGTTGAGAGAACAAACTACGTGAACTGGAGAATTTCATTGTTTTTATTTTTATTATTGTCGATTATCTCGTGTGACATCCAGCTCGCACAAATCTCCATCTGTTACCGAAACGTTTTTGTTTTCTTTTTTTGAAATTTTCATTCCAAACCACAAAATGTCAATATCTCAATCAACGAGACTCAACCAGACTTCTCGCCAAGGAAAAACTCGTCAAAGATCTCGAAGAAACGGTGATCCCTTTTGACATGACATCCATATTTTTAGCCCAACAACATTTTCAAGCTCATTTCCGCGTCTAGAGCCTAAGCTTTTGGTGGCATAAGCTTTCTACAATTGAGCTAATTTTCAAAGTTTGTTTCTCCACTTTATAACTTTTCCATTCTACCTACTGACCTCCAGGATTGGGATTTTTGCCGAAAAAAACAAATTTTGAATCTGTTCTCGGGTGTTTTTTCAAGGGCGTTCATGAGTTCGAGCTGACTATGAGGGCTGATGAGGGTGGATAGGCTCTTATTACAGAATTTTTGGCTCAAGTTTCTCTTCTACCCTGTTCCCCTGTTTTCTAAACCTCATCACTTGACTACTTTAGTTCAAAAGATCGAATTTCAGCGTTAAAGATTTTCAATTCACCGTTAACAAAAAAAAAATTTTTTATTTAAATTTTTTTCTCCGATATTTTTCACTCATTTCACAATGTGATATCCAGAATTTCGTATAAAATTTTAAAATTTGTTTTTTCTTTTAAAAGTTTCCAGTAAAAGTCGAAAAAATCGTTTCCATCTTATCTCTATTCTCTGTAATGCTAGGATGATCGGAAAAAGAGCAAAAATCTTTAAAATTCAGCCCTCCACCCTCAAGTCTTAAAAGGAATTAAGAAAAAAAACAGAAAAGTAAAAGTTTTCTTTGTTTAAATCATTTTACTTTTCTATACTTTACAGTATTTAGTTTTAAATCAAGCTACGGTATCCCTTGACTTCTACAGGATCCCTTGACTTCTACAGTATCCCTTGACTTCTACAGTATCCCTTGACTCATCCTTGGCTACAGTAATCACTTCAGTACTACAACAAGCTTCAAAGCAGTGAAAAGCTTCGAATTTCAGCTGTTTTCCTGAACTCTTTTTCTTCAGTTTCACTTTTTTTCCAATGTTTGGATGAAAGGCCACGAGGAAAATGGGAAAGAAATGTGGAAACGGCTGTTATTTTTCCATTTTCACCCATCACCAGCTGTAGCTAAAGGGTAAGAAAAACGATTTTTAAACCACATCCCAATCTCATTTCTCTCTGAAAACTCGAAAACGAACACCTTTCATCATTAATTATTTCATAAACTCAATTGGAAAAGATAAATGAATTCATTTCTTCTAGAAACAACAATTAATAGTTTCCCAAACTTTTCATTTCTTTCCATCTTGGATAGCATTGCTTAGCCACTTAGCCAGGATTGCTTCATCAGAGCTCCCCAGCTTCATCAGAGCTCCCCAGCTTCATCAGAGCTCCCCAGCTTCATCAGAGCTCCCCAGCTTCATCAGAGCTCCCCAGCTTCATCAGAGCTCCCCAGCTTCATCAGAGCTCCCCAGCTTCATCAGAGCTCTCCAGCTCTGATGAAGCAATTCACAATGTTCATTCCTTTCTTTTGCCTGCTAAGCCTTTCTTTTCTTTACCGTCTCTGATTCCTATTAGTTTTATTATCCATTGCCATCCAACTTCCCCTAAATATCCATCTCTTGTCACTTTTAGCATTCTTTCCGCTTGATGAAGTCCGTTTAGAATAATCTTTTCACTCAATTTCTCTGTCCAACAACATAGCAGAAGGGTTTCTCCTAAAAAGTTCGTAGAGCTGGCTTATACCAGATTTTTTTCAATTCAGATTTCATTACTTTTTTTCTCCTTCTTCTTTCACTACCATTCCGATTCTCCATGTTTTTCTAGAAAAAGAGATGCTTTGGAAGAAGCGTCTCCTCACTCGATCCACCTCTCCACGACCGATTCACTGTGAATTCCAAACGAAACACAAACATTCTCTACACGAAACACAACAAAACGAGTCACCAATACGAAAAACGAAACACCGAAAAGCCCATTCAAAATCGAAATCCCCGGCAACGATTGTTGATATTCTGTTAGAAGATCTCTCTCGAGATGTAATCACTTGTCATTTCTGTGGTCGGTGTGTCCTCATCCCAATCAATCGAGTTGAGAGAGATTTTGGAGGGATTCTCCTTGCACTTCGCGGGATTCCATTGTTGGCGTGAGTTTTTGTGTCAGAAGCAGGACCCCTTCTGTGTCAGTTTTGTCACATCACTTTTGAGTCTAATGCACTATGTGACATCCAGTTTAGCTAAACAAACATTTTCTGACCCACTCACCCAGTTCGATGCTCCAGAAAGCCTGTGTTCATCCGAGCACAAAGTACGCAAGTCTAGATCTAAGTCTAGCCGTAACTTTTTGCCTCCATTGTACTATGTGACATCCAGTTTAGCCTAAAAACACACTTTCTGACACACTCACTCAGTTCAGTGCTCTAGAAAGCCCGTGTTTACCAGAGCACCAAAAATCACCACAATCTGAGTCTAGCCTTAGCTTTTTACTTTCATTGTGCTATGTGACATCCAGATTAGGCAAATACACCCTATCTGGTGCACTAGAAAGCGTCTGTTTACACGATTCTCGAGTACAAAGTCACATGTTTTCAAAATTTAACGTCAAACGTTTCCTGTTTACCTTGTTCTCCAGATCACTTCAATCTTTGATGATCAGAATTGAAAACCTAGCAAATGAGCCCAGCCCAGAATTAATGGATTTCCGGTTTTCTGAAAAAAAACTTGTTGCAATAGAGAAAGAACAGTTGTTTTGAATGGGTCATGTGCTTTGATTGACCTAATAGAAAAAAAGCAATCAAATCTTGCACGAACAAGATCTTGGAAAAAGTGGCTTGTTCTCTGAACTCTACATTGGATTGATACTAGATTTTAACTTAGTCAGTGCACCAGAAAGGTCACGTTTACAAGGAAAAGTTTATCAAATGTTGAGTGATCGAAAAATTCACTTTTATTAGTCAAAAGATTGTCAATTTTTCATCAAAACATTCTCAAAGCATTCTCAAAACAATCTCAAAACTTTCAGCTCCTTTGAATGGTTGGTTGGATGGACGACACAATTGGCACTTTTCATTACCTATGCAAAGGTTTTCATGTTTAGAATTAGACTATATAAATTTCTAATAATTTTCAGGCAATCGAACTCCTCATTATCTGCTATTTCTATTTGGATTTAGCTTCGAAAATTATGCATTGGAGTTCATTGGCTGGGAAGAGGTAGCACAAGTTTTCTAGATTTAGATTTAGATTTAGATTTAGATTTAGATTTAGATTCAGATTTAGATTCAGATTTAGATTCAGATTTAGATTCAGATTTAGATTCAGATTTAGATTCAGATTTAGATTCAGATTTAGATTCAGATTTAGATTCAGATTTAGATTCAGATTTAGATTCAGATTTAGATTCAGATTTAGATTCAGATTTAGATTCAGATTTAGATTTAGCATTCTCAAAGCATTCTCTATCTAGATTAACAAATCTTACAGTACTCTTGCAGACTGTGCTTCTCTTCACTCATCCTTCTCTTCACTTATTTCACTCTTTTCCTAGTGATGGGCTTTCTTCTTTCAATCGAGCCATGGACTGATTGTCATGGTAAAGCTTTAATAGCTGATTCGCTTTAATATTATTTGTTATCACATTAAAATTATCGAAATTTTCAGCTCCTTATTGGATTTGGTTTTCTTGTGGAGAATTTCTGACAGTTCAATTAATGGTTTTCTCATTTTTGTTGATTGTAAATCGAATGAATCGCATCTCCGCCTCACCAAATATTCATCAACGACAAAGGAGACAACTATTCACGTAAGGATAATCGAATACTAGTGCCATAAGTCAGTAGGGTAATCCTGGCTTAAGCCGTACTCTAACACAGCTCTAACACAGCTCTAACACAGCTCTAGCCCAGCTCTAACAGAGCTCATTACAATAGTATTCCCTATCCATTTCAATTTCCCTTTTACAGCTTATTCTGGGTCTTCGAGACATCTTGTCTTGCCGATCTTGGATATCATATTTCTCTCTATATATTAGCCGATGATGAAAAAGGATGTTCGGGGGATTTTTGTAAGTACAAAAAGTGAATCTCGATTCTCTTTAAAGAAAAGCTTTCTAGGAACACCAACAATTGCGGTATTCGATGCTGAAATTCCCATATGATATCGTTTCTTTTCTTCTACCCGCTTGGACGCTTCTCTATTTCTTCCGACCACAACGAAAAGATGGATTTGATCAACAGGACAGTCAAGAGGTTCGAAGAAATTCTCTTCTGCAGCTTCTGCAGCTCTTCCTTGGAAATAGCTATTTAAAAGATCAAATTGTTTCGTTAAAATTTCTTTCTGCAACTCACAAAACAGCTATAATTCTAGTCCTCCCTTCCCTCGATTTCCGGCATCGCCGATGTGATTGTGGTCCGGAATTGGCGACGAAGATATCGACCACTTGTACAAGATAACTCGCAATATGTACCGGCACCCGAATTGAGAAGAACAGTGCAACAAAGAGTGAGGAGAGAAGGCACAAGAGGAGCAGACAATGGTGTGGTCAGGAGAGTGTCCTCGGCGCCGCAGGTTGGTTCAAGATCTAGGATAAATATCTGATTGTTAAGATAGGAAACCTACATAGAACTTGTTCAAAATCTTAATGCTTAGAATAGTTGCATAGCTGAATAGCTGGTACAACATTTAGTCAGGGAGGGTTATCCTGCGTTTACCCGAGCACAAAGTACATATGCAGCCTAGATCTAAGTCTAGCCGTGACTTTTTGCCTCCATTGTGCTATGTGACATCCAGATTAGCTAAACACACACTTTCTGACACACTCAATCAGTTCAGTGCTCCAGAAAGCCTGTGTTTACCCGAGCACAACACATGCAGCCTAGATCTAAGTCTAGCCGTAACGTTTTGCTTCCATTGTGTTATGTGACATCCAGATTAGGCAAACACACCCTATTCGGTGCACTAGAAAGCGTGTGTTTACACGATTTTCAAGCACAAAGTACGCAGTCCCATGTTTTCATGAATTAACATCAAACAGGACGTCCTAGCTGGCCTGGCTTCTAGCTGGCCTGGCTTCTAGTTGGCCTGGCTTCTAGCTGGCCTGGCTTCTAGCTAGCCTGGTCTCTAGCTGGTCCGGGAATCTAGAAAAACCCGTATGGATTAGCTCAAAGAATAGTTTTTGATAAAACTGACAAAATGAAAGACAATGCTGCTTTCCAGATTGCGCAACGTCGGATCTCTATCTCTCGCTCTTACATTTCTTCAACGCTCTACTCGATTCCCGAAGAAATACAACAAGTGAGGATTGATCATTGTTCTCAATCTCTACATCAAATTTCCAGCTTCACCCTCACTCCTCTGGGATGATTGACACTGGCGAGTTGATGATCGCCTCGTCGATCGATAATCTTTCAATGGTTCCACAGATTGAAGAGGATGACTAAATAAGTTTATATTTTTGATATCTTCTCTAAATCTTCTCTAAATCTTCTCTAAAACTTGAAACAATCCATTCCTTTGCTATGTTCCTTTGAAATTACGTGTACCAAGAGAGCAATGACTAGTTAAAAGCAGCAAGAACTTTAAAAAAACTATTGGATAAAAGATTTGTAGAATTTTTAGATAAAATTCTATCAAAAGCTAGCTCATTTTTTAGCTTCGTTTAGCTTTTTTTTTCTGTAATTTCTTTGCTTATTTTTTTCCACAATTTTTTTGTCACAACGGGTCTATTTCTTTTCTTAAAAAAGTCCTTATGTTTCTATTCCTTTTCAATCTCCATCTAGACTACATGAAAACTGCCCGTCATCTGTATTTATGTGTTTATATTTATGTACATCCCCGAATTTGCTCACTCTTCTTCCGCGCCGATTCGACTTCGACACCGTTTAAACTCTGTGCTTGTATATTTCTTGCGAATAAAGTGCTGAAAAGTGTTTCCTGGAATGCACAAAATCATTTCCATCAAACCACAACAACTATTTTGTTTTTAAAAAAAAATATAGGATTTTGTACATCGAGGAGAATGAGAGGGTTCAGGGAAACATGAAGCTTTCGGCTTTGAAAGGCCATAACTCTGTTCATTATATTATTCTTAGCCTTCGTTGAATAGAGGAGATTTTAGGCTTTTGAAAGATACCATAAATTGCCTGATTGGACTAGCCAATCCTGAGATCGAGAGACAACTTTCTCAAGTCATTTTCTTTCAGTTCGCTTGCTGGTCGCTTTTGTGTTGCTGTGAAATGTTTGCTGTGAAATCTTTAAGAATATATCTAGAATAATACAATGCTCAATGATCTTTATGTAAAAATTTAAAGATTTAAATTCTCTTCGGCTTTGGCGACGATTTGTTGTTGATGGTCTCTGGGTCGAACAAGACGAGCATTTGAGGCTCGACTCCACGAATTGTGATGAGCATGCTAGAAATGGGGAATGATGAAGACAACTGTTGTACAAACCGTTCGATGAATTCCACAAAAGATCAATGCTTTTAGTCGAGCGTTGAACTCGGGACGGAAAGCGATGAAAACGACAAGGCAAAGACACGATTGAAGACCGTAGAAACAGTAGGCGATTCCTGGAATGGTTTACGATTGTCTGAATTGTTTGAATTGTTTGAATTGATTGAATTGTCTGGATTGTCTGGATTGTCTGGATTGTCTGAATTGTTGAATTGTTTGAATTGCCTGAATTGTTTGAATTCTCTGAATTCTCTGAATTTCCCAATTTCCATTTAAACCCTCTAGCAATATATTGTATTATCTTTTATTCAATCGTGATTCAAAATCGCTTACCAACAATGAGCTCGGACAATTTTGGTTGATGCCAAGCGTCCATCAAGACCACACAATTCGGGATGACGGTGAAGATGACACTCGTTAAAGTGATACCAACAGATGTGTGCTGCATTCTTTGCTCATGTTTTCCCATTGTCTAAAAGAAATGATTTGTTGTAACAATTTTACATGGCATTAGGCATTTCTCTGAACATTTCTCTGAACTCACTCGATGCTTCCTCACCGCTATCCAAACATAAACCACTACAATAAAGCTGACAAAATAAGTGAAAGAACAGATTGTATAATGGAAAGTCGCGTACACGATACCAACACTAAGAGAATTAATTTTTAAGAGGGAAATCGTTCTTTTAACTTACCTATTTGTCACAACACACATTTTATCGGGATTTGTAATTGGGAAGAAAAAAACTGTAGACATGGCAATGGAGAAGATTAACTAAAGATCAGATTTCAATATTAGAGTCAATCTAATCACCAATGAGTAAACAGTAGCTCCAAAAAGCATAAATTGTTTATGATTTTTCCATGAACGATATGAATTACAGAAATAGACGGCAAAGAAACGCTCGAGGGAGATGATGAAGTTGGCTGAGGCTGGGAAAATGCCTGCAATGCAAAGAAATGGATTTGATTGCCGGAAAGTAAACCAGTTCATTGGTCAACGAAAGGTTAAAGCTTTAGCTTCCTCCAAAGCTTCCTCCAAAGCTTCCTCCAAAGCTTCCTCCAAAGCTTCCTCCAAAGCTTCCTCCAAAGCTTCCTCCAAAGCTTCCTCCAAAGCTTCCTCCAAAGCTTCCTCCAAAGCTTCCTCCAAAGCTTCCTCCAAAGCACTCACCAGCCAGCAACATCAAAATTGGCCACGGCATTTTGAACATACAATCGAAAGAAGTGATTTGTTCAAAGAAATCTTCTTTCCGTAGCACCCATTCTCGGCCAAAACCACAAGCAACAAGGGAGATACCATTCAACTAAATTAACTAAATTTCTTTACATATTTCTATATACAGTACTGGACAATGAAATATGATATTTGAAAAACGATCGTCACTTTCGCGCGTCTGTAACTCCCTTGTCTTTGAGTTTAAACTAATAGTGTTCTACATTTTCTGAAAGCTTTTTTCAAGGGCTACACAATGGTAATATTAATATTTAGAAATATGGTATTTTTGACGCATTTCAGTGCGCACAAGATGGGATACTCAAAATTGTTGCTTTTCAAAGCTTTCAAAGCTGTTTTTCTTTATGATAGAGTGCTGGAATCGCTCTGAAACTACGATTTTTGGAATCTACGCAAAAATTTACGAAAGTGACGATCGTTTTTCAAATATCACATTTCATTGTCCAGTACTGTAAATAGGCTTACCATTTCAGCTAAGCATAGAAAAATATATAACTGAAATCGTTGTCGATAATCAGCTCTTGACAAAAAGACGATTAAGCAAAGAAGATTACAGAGAATCACGAGAATACCGATTGAGCCATAGAGAAGGAAACGCACCTCGAGTTGGGAAGTGATTTCCATCGAGATTTATATCTGAATAACTCATGTAACATGAAAAAAACTAACAAGAACATCTAAAAACTATTTTAAACTTTTATTAGATACAGGAATAGACGAAAAAGCGAAAAACTAAAAGCTAAAAGCCAGAAGGAGCGCGTTTAGCTGCAAGCACAAGTACATGACCAAAATGACTAAAATAAAATATTGACAAGCTATAAATTTTATGAAATAATCTTTCATTGTGCATTCCAGATCGACTATTAGATAGATTATAAGTGCCAGAAGGGGCGCGTTTACCTGGAAGCAGTACACCAGTGAACCCTCACAAGAAAAGGACCAAAATAAAATATTGACAAGCTACAAACTTTATGAAATAATCTTCCATTGTGCATTCCAGATCGACCATTTCATAAATTATTTTCATCATAACTCTTTGAAATCCTTGTTTTTTACCACTGAACATCGAAAGTCCGCGGAAATTTCTCCAAATCAACAAAATATTGGCAATGAAATGAGGAAAAGGCTCAAAGTTTTGCATTGGCTTTGACTTAGACACGATTCTTGAGCAAGCTAACCCCAAAACTCAAGTCAAAAACCAAATCAAGAAAGAAAATTCCTTCAAAACTTGATCGCTACAGGCTAGAACCGGAATTCGGATTGTTCTAGAAAGTGGATTTTCATCCAACTCAATCTAATACAAGACTTGAGGCAAATTTTAGTTCTTCTACTTATCCCAGGTAGCAACAATGAGTCTAGTACAGTCAAGTTTTCGATTTAAAGATTTCTAAATAGTACAATATGCCAAAATCAAGGTCTTTTATTAAAAAGAAAGAGAAAAAGAGTAGAAAAAAGTACAAGAAATGAAGTTGTTGACCCCCCAAGGGATTGAAATGATATAAAGATCCTGGTACAGACAAACTTAATCAAATAATCAAATTTTCTTATTTATAAGAATCGTATTTTGTGTCTAGAGAAAGCGACTTTGACTTCGAGTAATCGAGATTTTTTCAACGTTTCAATTCAATCAAGAAAAGAGATCAAATGTGCTGAAAGTTCATTAGCTGAAAGTTCATTAGCTGAAAAGTTTTAGGATTTTCAAAACAACAGAATTCAAAAGAACATCTTTTAATTCATCTTAAGATTTCAACTTCTTTACACCTAAAGTTTGATCAAGCTTTACTTTAGAAAAGTTTCTTGAATTTCAATTTCTTAAAGATACAAGTGATCAAGCAAAGCCATTTAGTTGGCTCTTTCTACAATCGTAACTCTAAGCGAGAGACTGAGCCTCAACAGCTTCATTTTTTTCTACTTTTTCTTTCTTTCAATTTCTTAAAGATCCAAATGATCAAGCAAAGCCATTAGTTGAGCAAAGCCAAAGCCTTTCAACAATCGTAACTCTAAGCCAGAGACTGAGCCACGTTTCATTTGTGTTTCCAATTAATAAATGAATTTAAATTTCAGAATTTCTTCTTAAAGATTTTCAAAAAAAAGACTAGACAACATTTGAATTTAAATATTAAAGATTTAAAGTTGAAGTTTAGAGTTGAGTAGTATATTTTCTGTTTATGAATTGTTATTGTCAATCATTGTTTAAAGTCATTGGTAACTTCTACCTATGACTTTAAACAATGATTGACAATAACAATTCATAAACAGAAAATAAACTACTGAGACTACTGAGTCTTCTCCTAGTGTACTTTAATAAATAAAAGGAAAAAGAGAAATGAAATTTGATTACAAGAAGGAATATAAAGGAAAAGAGATAAAAAGAATGAGAAAAATGACATCGATATGGGTTGAAAGGGAAGAAGAGGAGAAAGAAGAAGAGGAAGAAGAGGAGAAAGAAGAAGAGGAGAAAGAAGAAAGGGAAGAAGAGGAGAAAGAAGAAAGGGAAGAAGAGGAGAAAGAAGAAAGGGAAGAAGAGGAGAAAGAAGAAAGGGAAGAAGAGGAGAAAGAAGAAAGGGAAGAAGAGGAGAAAGAAGAAAGGGAAGAAGAGGAGAAAGAAGAAAGGGAAGAAGAGGAGAAAGAAGAAAGAAGAAAGGGAAAAAGGAAATGAATCAGTTATCGAACAAATAAACAAACAAATACGAAGTAATCAAAGAATATTTTCAATAATAAGAACAGATTGGGTATCATTTTTGGACTCTTGGTAAAAGGGTTGGCTTGTAAATTTTCAATTTCGATTCAATCTTCGATGTTATAGATTGAATTCTGGTTGTAAGTTGATAAAAGTAAAAGTTTCTTTTGAAAATCTCATTGAAAATCGATTAAAAAACTAGTTTAACTACTTTGGCTTATGATTGGCTTATGATTCTTGATCGAATGATGCGAAAAACTGGTGAAACTAATGTAATTACTGGATCAAGTGATCAACTGGATCATTACTGGATCTAAAGTAAACAAACAAACAAATCTCAAGCCAAATGATGACAAAAATTTACTGGCAATATCTATAAAGGCTTTTTTTTCCCAAAGTATTCTGTAAAAAGTGGGCTTTTAAAAGCTTTTAAAAAGGTTTTAAAAGGTTTTAAAAGACTTTAAAAAGGTTTTAAAAGGTTTTAAAAGACTTTAAAAAGCTTTAAAAAGGTTTAGAAAAGTTTTAAAAACTTCTTAGAAGCTCCCAAAACCGGATACATTCACTGAGCTTTTTGCAAAAAGGTCGAACCTTTTGAGAGATGAAAAGATTTACAGTTTCTTCTTGTTATCTATGGTTGATCTTTACAATTCCCTCATCTAAATACTTCAAATCAAATCACATAAAAGCTGAAGATCAAAGTTGAACGCCAAAAAAATTCCCATAGTAATCAAAGAATTTTTCGAAATTTCTGAAAAAATCATATAATTTGACGTAAAATTCGAAGAAAACAAAGGATTTTGTTGGAAAATTTGTATGATTCGTTTAAGAAAAGGATGTAAAAAAAGATTCTTTGCGTGCTTGGTACTCTTCACTCAGAGACACGTTATTTCTTGTTTCTGAGATATCTGATCTCCACTTGAACTAAGACACTTTATTCAATAGCCGACTGACTCGGAATTTCTTGGGCTTAAGCTTGAGCAATTTTCACACAAAATCGACAATTGAATTAAAAGCGACGATAAAAACACAAAACAATTTCGTCCGTAATTAGGACGCAATGAAAGGAAAGTAGAAAAAAGTAAAAAAACGCATCAAATGAACAACAATTTCGTTGTATAGGCTTTAGCTATATAAGGCAGTTAAGATATTCAGCTAACAAGCTATAAAACAATAAATGATTTGGGGCGAGAAATAGGATGAAGACGCACGGCATTTCCGCAATACTTTTCCAATTTTTAGGCTGTCAGAGTTAGGTAACTTTAGTGGTTATTCGCCACAAAGGAAAATTTACAAATCAGAAACAAATTCGTGAAGAGGAACAAATCGAGAAACGACAAAAAACTATTCAACAAATAAGTTAGCTTTCATTTGTGCTTTCAAGAATGCACAAAAATTTGAAGCTGATCAAAATAGCCGATCAAAACAAAATAGTGCGAATCTCAACGCCACCTCAAAAATAGCCCCTCTGCGCTTAAGTTTCTTTGTGTTTTCGATTCTTATTGAATGCAGAATAGAAACTATCCACATTTTGCACACTTTAGAATCACTTAAAACAGAATTCGTGTCGAGAAAAGCTCAATTCTTGATGCATTTTTTCGTTTTTCGATTTGTTTGTTCTAAAAAATTCAGCAAATAGCTAAATTTTTTTTTTCCTCATCTAATGAAAATAAAAAAAAATAAAGCAACTTAATTACAAGCTCATTATGTTGATCGGCGCTGTTTGGACATGGCGTTGTTTTGGTCAGTGATCGATCGTTGTTTTGATCAGCTGACGAAAAATTGAAAAAACTTTAGATATCAAGAGAAAATCGAGAATAAAATCGATGTAAATGTAAAAAATAATAAAAATATTGGAAAAAGTAATGCTTTTTTTGAATATTTCCTAGAGGGAATGCATTAGATGAAAAAAAAGAATGTAATGAAAAGAAAAAAAAGGGGGAGAGGAAGAAGAGAGATGCAATGGATAGAGTGACGTCCAAGAATGAGATGGAAAAACTTGCTTTTATCTTTTTACCCTTTTTTCTTTTCATTTTTACCCCTTTAGATCCATTTGAGGCTTTCCTCATTTCATTGCCAATGTTTTGTTGGTTTTTCTTTTCTTTCTTTTTCACTCCTCGTGGCTTTGATGAGAAATTTTTGGCGGACTTTTGATGTTCAGCGTTGAAAAACAAGGAATTCAAAGAGTTATGATGGAAACAATTTATGAAATGGTCGATCTGGAATGCACGATGGAAGATTATTTCATAAAATTTGTAGCTTGTCAATATTTTATTTTGGTCCTTTCATTGTGAGGGTTCACCGGTGTACTGCTTCCAGGTGAACACGCCCCTTCTGGCACTTATAATCTATCTAATGGTCGATCTGGAATGCACAATGAAAGGTTATTTCATAAAATTTGTAGCTTGTCAATAATTTATTTTAATTATTTTGATCCACTGGTGTACAGCTTTGGCGCACTGAACACTCTCTTTTCTGTGCGCCAGAAAGCATGCGTTTTCAATATTGAAGAATTTCCGATGAAGCACATGATTTGATGACATTTTTCCTGACTTTTTGCATTCAATTGAACAAAAACAAAGGAGTAAAATGATGAAAAAAAAATTGAAAAAGATGTCATTCATGTTTTCATTCAAGCAAACGAAAAGGAAATTTGATTTTTACAAAATTGGCACAATGTTTTTGGACTACAATGTTTCTAGAAACAGTCGAAATCTTAAAAAAACCCGTTTTTCATTTAAAATTTCAAAATAAAACCGGTTAATGATGCTTAAAATCGAAAAATTTCCATAAAGGAAATTCTTGGACTCAAGAAAAGAAAAAAGAAAAGAAAATTATCTTTTAGCCAAAAAAAAAAATCGAAACTTTTAGTTGCTGGGGTTTTTTTGGTTTTTTGGTGAAGTTTGGTACTCGAGAAACTTGAAACCACTTCAAAGAATTGCCTTTTCCATTCACTGATTGTCAAATTCAGTCATTCTCCAAATTCTCCAAGTTCTTCAAATTCTCCAAATTCTCCAAATTCTCTAAATTCAGTCATTCTCCAAATTCTCCAAGTTCTTCAAATTCTCCAAATTCTCCAAATTCTCCAAATTCTCTAAATTCAGTCATTCTCCAAATTCTCCAAATTCCAACTTCTCTAAGTTCTCCAAATTCTCCAAATTCTCCAAACTCTCCAAACTCTCCAAATTCTTCAAAAACCTTTATCTTTTACCCGTAAAGAACAACAATTTAAAGAGTTATAAAGCTTAAAAAGCTTAAAAAGCTTATAAAGTTTAAAAAGCTTGTAAAATAGAATTCAATAGAATTTCTCGACTTGTTTCCGCATGAATTTCGGGTAGCGCTTGTGGATTTTCGAATTCTTCGCCCCACTACTCCACGAGAAATGACGAGATGGTCGATCTTTTTTCCATTCGGCACCGAATTCATGCTGTAAAATGTCGATTACAAATAGAAATCTTAAGCTATTCAACTAAAAATTGAACTAAACTCAAGCTAAAGAACTTACAACAATGTGCCTATCAATTTCACAAGGCACATAGAAGAAATGATTGAACAACTCGCCGGCACAAATCTCATCATCAATAATTCTTAAATTTCAAATGATTTTGTATTGTCTAAAGTACGTAAAAGTACTATACAGTAGTACATAAAAGTACTAGAAAGTACATAAAAGTACTATACAGTACGTAGTACAATTTGTACAATATTTCTTGTCCAATATTTCAATTAAACCAAAGCTCGATAAGCTTGATCTCTGATTCAGAGTTGTTGTAATTCTGTAAAGGATTTTCCAGACTTAAGCCTAACTTATAGGCTTAAAACTATCGTAATCTTAATGGAAAACTTATAGTTTAAAAGAAACTTTGGCCAGCTGAATCGATAGGAGGTGAGTCCAGGGGATTGACCGGCTGCATACGTGAAATTATCGGTGTCATAGAGGAAAAAGATGTCGACCGGGAAATGATATTTCAGACTTTTCACTGTGTACTCGAGAGACTCGTTTCGCTAAAGATTTGATTATCATAAATGAAAACAACAACATCAAACCAATCCCAATCGTCTCTCTGCCCAGAAAGGTGCCTCAATCGTTTCTATTGCCTTTAGAAATTTTTCATTCATCTCAATCACTCTGGAAATTAGAGCTCGATCTGCGATTGTAGATCAAGGTCAAGCCTAGGCTTGACCAGACCCAAGTCCAACCATTGCCTTGACTCTAAGCTAGCTTAACTAAGGTTCGAGCTGTTAAATGGTTTCAAGTTAGGTCTAGGCTTGATCTAGATAATGGATCTTGCCCAGGTTTACCATTAATGAAGCTTACAGAAGCTGAGAGAAGCTGACAGAAGCTGATAGAAGCTGACAGAAGCTGACAGAAGCTGAGAGAAGCTGACAGAAGCTGATAGAAGCTGACAGAAGCTGAGAGAAGCTGATAGAAGCTGATAGAAGCCGACAGAAGCTGATAGAAGCTGATAGAAGCTGACATTGATGCCCTTACCTGATGCCAAAATCGAAATCTTGGGTATGGGTGATGATGGAGCACTCGCGGTACCAACCTGAATAATGTTTTATTGGATTGTTTATTATTGAAGAATCATATCCAAAGCAAACACTTACCTAAAAGTGATCCAAAGAAAAGAAAAGGTGTCATATTATGAGTGATGATGAGATCTCTTAAATGAACAATTTCTCCAAAAGCTTCCAACGGGATTTTCCGCCTCCAATCACCCCAATCTTTCTTCGGCTTTTCAGTGACTGAAAAAGAAAGAAATAAAGAAATAATTTGTCTTAAAAGTACTGTAAAGATTTAGTACGATTATTTTTCAACTGTAGTACATTAAACAGTTGATTTTCTGTAAAAACTAGAATGAACTCGGCTCAGCAAGTGAGCAATGAAAGAAATGGATGAAAAATGTCTTTAAGCTGGCTTGCTTTTGTCTAAATCTTCGCATTTTCTTTGTGAATTTGCTTACCGATTCTGCGCATTCGCTCCAGAAAAGTCTCCTTTGTCGAAATGAAAGACGAATTCTTATTTCTAAATTGTTATGATTGAAATTTCCAAGAAAGTTTAAAGAGAAACTCAGAAATCTGAATTGTTTCCATAGTCGGTCCACCTCGATTTATCGCTAGAAAAGCAAAAAAAAAAAGCCTTTTTTTAATTGAAATAATCTTACCGATATTTTTGCATTCGATTTTTCTGGAATAACGCCAAAATTTTGCAATTTCAGAGTGATTTTCGAGCTCCACAATAACAGATTTCACATTAGTTTTTGATGAAAAAAGGAATCTAATTAAGAAAATGTAAAAAAAGAAAGATTAAAAAGAAAATTTCAACTAACTTTGGCATTATTCGAGTACGATTTTGAAAGTCGAACTCGAGAAAATCCTTTTTTTCTTCATTTTTAAAGATAAGATGTGGAAAATGAAGGAACGAGGATGGTAGAGTCGCTGCAATTCTTTTCTTTTCCAATTCAATCCAATGCAATTATTAGATTAGAAGTGAAAGAAAGCTTTTCGAATGATCAAAAGCATTTGTGATTTTAAAAGTAGAACTAGAAAGAGAGTGGAGAGAGAGTAGAACTGGAGAGTAGAACTGGAGAGTAGAACTGGAGAGTAGAACTAGAAAGGAGAACTAGAAAGTAGAACTAGAGAGTAGAACTAGAGAGTAGAACTAGAGAGTAGAACTAGAGAGTAGAACTAGAGAGTAGAACTAGAGAGTAGAACTAGAAAGCAATTGGGTAACTGAACCGGCTAATGGAGTTCACTGCTAAAGACAAAAGTAAGATTTACCTTTTACTAGAGACTCATTTACCGTAATCTTGGAGTTCTAGGCTTACCTAGATTACCGTGATCTTGCTTTATGTGTAATCTATTCATTTATCTAATTATGGAGTTTATAAAGGATATTTAAAGATCTAAAAGTTGATAGACTGCAATTCTTTTCCAATTCAATCTTTACTTGTGCAGTGTGCATCAGAGAGTCTACCGTTTTACTACCTTTGTCGAGATGTGCTCGTTTCGAGGAGATCGCCAGAAATTTCCCGTCGGGAAGCGTTAGCAGAAAGATTTGCTCATCGTTGACCAGAGTTCCTGGAAAAGTTGAAGCTTTTTTGGGCCATCGTTAGTCTGAAATCAGATGTGTTTAAGGGAAAAGTCAGAGAAAACCTTTGAACCCTTGTTTGGTTTAACTCCAGCACTTACCACTATCAAAATTTAAACAATTGCTTCGATTCTTATTCACTTCTAAACGATAATTGATTGGATAATTGATTGGATCATTCATTTCTTTTTTTTGATTGAATTTAAGAAAGATGAGAATAGAGAAAACGAGAAAAAAGCGATGAAGAATTGATGAGATCGATGCCACTGAAAAGGGTGAAACATTCATTTAAATATCTTTCTTTCTTGTATTTCTTATTGACAATAGTAGAAATCAATCGCTTTCTTTGTCTAGAAGTAGAATTCAATCGATTTCTTTGTCTAGAAGTAGAACTCAATCGCTCTCTTTGTCTTTGTGACAAGTAATTACGTGACCACACTTTTAGCAAAGATTTCACTTTGACAATGTTTGAGAAAGAAAGGGTTTTCGAGGTCAGCGAATCGATTAATGATTATTTTAAGCTTTAGCAGTAATATATTCGTTTCAAAAAAACGGTGACTAGTCAGCAAACTGAGAGAAAATGACTTGATCATTTTGTCTCTCGATCTCAGAAATGGCTAGTCCAATCAGGCAATTTCTGGTATCATTGAAAAGCCTAAAATCTCCTCTATTCAACGATAGAAAAGGCTAAGAATGATAGAATCTCTGGCGAAAGTTATGATCGTTTAAAGTATGATTGCATTTAAACCTTTGTCTTCATGAGAAATCGAGATGATGTTCAGTTCAGTTCAGTGAAATAAACGAGATTTTGATTAATTTTGATAAATAATTGATTCATTGTTGCACAAAAATAGAGAAAAGCTTGAAAGATGAAAATTGATAGGAGAAGGGGATTAGCGAGAAGGCAAGGAAAGGAAAGGGAAGATGACACGTCGAATCTCAGTCAATTCAGGACTGGAAAAGACAAGCTATATGCAGAGATTTCGTTTGAAACTTTGAATTCTCAAGAAAAGATTCGTTTAAAAAGACTCTTTATAAAGAAATATAGAGGAAAACTCTAGAAAATGAAATGAAAAGAAAATGAATTTCGTCCCAGCCGATCGTAAGCTATATAAAACGTTATTCTAAACAATGAAAACATTTCTTTTTGATCCCTTTCATTACAAGAGACAACTGTACGTTGAAATCTTTATTAGAAACACTAATACCATTTTTTTAAAGATTCTTTGAGTCAATTAGTCTCCATAAACTTCAACGAATTGTTACCAGAGATCAATTAAACGCTAAACTCAATCAATCAATCAAACGATCAATCAAATCGATCAATCAAATCAAATCAATCAATCAAACTAATCCCTAAAGATTATTTATATAAAATATTCAAATATTCAAATATTTGATACATTTAATACTTATTAATAAGAAACTTTTAATTTAAACTTTAATTCCCAGATGTAGAGTAGCTTTTTTGAAAAGAACTCCTTTGAGAAAATAAGTTAAAGAAAAAACGATAAACTTCAAGCCAATCAATAAAAAGGAATAGTAATCAGAGAATCTGATTATCATGACTTTAGAGGACTTTTCATTGATTAAAGCTTAAAATAAAGCCTACCAATCGATCCATTGACCCCGAAAATCCCAGGGCACAAATTCCTGGGACTAAATCTGGAAAGTAGAACTAGAGAGTAGAACTGGAAAGTAGAACTGGAGAGTAGAACTAGAAAGCAATTGGGTAACTGAACCGGCTAATGGAGTTCACTGCTAAAGACAAAAGAAAGATTTACCTTTTACTAGAGACTCATTTACCGTAATCTTGGAGTTCCAGGCTTACCTAGATTACCGCAATCTTGCTTTATGTGTAATCTATTCATTTATCTAATTCTGGAGTTTATAAAGGATATTTAAAGATATAAAAGTTGATAGACTAGATAGAAAATAAAGATTACAGTAATTGGAGTAATTTTTAGATACAGTACCCCTCAAAAACTTCATTAGAAAAAGCAATTTTTAACATTTTTTTTGTGTCTACGCAATTGTTTCCCTTTTTTTTTTCTCGATTTTCCCAAACCCAATTACATTTTTTTTGTTAACCGTCGACTCAATTCATTTAATATTTTTGTTGACCAAAAGATTTTCCTCAAATAAATGTCATTTTTAAATCTATTGATCTCAAAATTCCCTTAAATGGATGATGAAAGTCTTCAGTTATCCACTCGTTTCACATTGTACTCGATTATTGGTGGAATTGGTGAGTGACGATTATGTTTTGACATCTACTAGTGAAGAGAATAGTCTAGTGATCACAGCTCTTGTTATTTCCCTTGTCTCTACCACTCCACCAGCTCTGGAAAGCTGATTGGATAGTAGAAATAAAGCAGAAAACAGGCATTGACTTGTACTACATTGTACTACATTGCTAGTACTACATTGTTTAGCCTGAGCTCAGTTAGTCTAAGCTAGCTGAGCTTGAAGCTAAGCTAGCTGAGCTTGAAGCTGAGCTATCAGTCTGAAAACTGGGTAACAGATGAATGGCTAAGCCTTGCACGGCTTGGCTGCTACGATGCTAAATCCTAATCCAGTTAGATTAATGCCCAAATCAAGCACGAATATTCATTCAGTCATCATTCTCAACTCGTTCACAATTCTCGTCTACGCCACCGATAAAGAGTACCGAAAGCGTTTCATTCTCTACGAGATTTTGTGTTTCGCTGAACTTGTAAGGAGAAACGAATCCAGAAATCCAGAAAAAGAGAAACTCCCTTCAGTTAAATGGTGCTAATTTCTTGACAGCTGGTTTGGGTCGATACACGCAATTGTCATCTGGCACAATGAACACGCCAATTCAATCAAATGAATGCCTTTTTGGGATGGTTTGGCCAATTTTAATGATCATTGGAGGTACAAAAGAGCAATGCCTAAACTTTGCCATCAATTTTTCCGATAATTTCTAAATTTCTAAATCAACTCAAGCAATTTCTGAAATCTTCTGAAAGCTTGAAATCTTCTCTATTCAACGATATAAAAAACTAAGCATAAGATGAGTTTTATGGAAAGTTTTGATACTTTAAAGTAGACTGACTTCATGATTTCTCTTCCAGAAACGTATCCAGCCTCGATGACATTTCTGTTATCAATCGAGCGTCTCTTCGCCGTTTCATGTTTAACCGAATTTCGTCGTAATCAGCACAAATCTCTAGTGATTTTCCTTGGTTTTTTCTATCCATTGGTAGATTTGTTTTTTTTTTGGGTTAAAACATCTAAGTTTTTTTTTGCTTAGATCATGATCCTAAGCGCTTCATTGATTGTCATTTATGCACCGCAAACAAACACAAATCGAATGTGCGGCACGACGGCCAGGTTTGAGATGAAAATCTACATTTAATGATTGATCATCTGGTCATTGATCATTAATCAATGATCAACTCAATACTGGAATCTTGAAAGATGCCCTAAATTCTTGTACTGTCTTAAAATAAAGCTAAAAACGATTGGGCAATATTTAGAGGATCAGATTTAGGCTGATAGGCTACTGAACTAATAAAGTATTCTATAAGGTTTCTGTATTTGTTAAACACTTACCGTAAATACTGTAATAGTACCCCACCCCGATAATGACGGTGCGGAGTGTTGCATAGTCTAGCTTTGGACGCGTTTTTCTCGACACTGGTTTATGCTACAATGCTTGTTTAGGTATCAAAAAATAGCCCTGAATTTCAGCTATTTTTTGATACCTAAGCGGGCATTGTAGCATAAACGAGTGTCGAGAAAAACGCGTCCAAAGTTAGAATACGCAACGCTCCGCACCGTCATTATGGGCGGTGGGGTACTATTACAGTATTTACGGCATGTACTTTTACCTATGTACTGTTACCTATGTATTTACGGTATCTATTTAGTTTTGATCGATTTACTTTACTCTACTGTTCACTGTACTACTTAAACTTTTAATTATATAACTTTTTCTTTGTTTTAGTATCAATCCAATCTATGGCTTGGTGCAAAATGTGACAACGATTTTGTTGTATTTGATCAGTTTGATCATCTCAATCACCGTCTACTCAGTGATCACCATTTGGAGGGTTTGTTTCGAGTACAGTAACCCGTAGAGTACTGTAACTCGGTGAAACTAAGTAGATAAACTAAGTAGATGTTGAAAAAAAGACTGTAGAAAAGCCTATCAGCTATCTACAGTAAGCTATCGATTTTTCAAAGCAATATCCAGCAATTCGAGGATCCAGTAAATATCT